TGCATCGGCGAATGCGCACCTGGAGCTGGCGTTGGCTGTGGAGCGTGTTGATGAACAAAGTGATGCGTTGGTTGTGGGGGGATGGGCGTATGAGAGCCGTTTGCACGAGCGAACCCAGTTGGCATCTGAGGTGTGTTTGGTCTTTTCTTGATCTTGATTGCCGTTTTGTCTGGAGAATCGTCAGGAGAATGTGCGTGTTGGGCCATCGTGGCAGGCGTAGGTGGAGCGGGAGACGGTTGGGGGGGCGTTGACATGTACTGGTGGCCGGGTATTTGAGTGGGGGCACCTTGGGCCGTCTTCGCATGTCGAGTATTGTTTACAGCATCCAGTAGACGATAGCTGAATTTATAAAGCAATTAATACAAGACCTGCAGTAAAACAAATTTAGGATACCTTGGGACATGATTTCTGCTCAGTCGCGGTGTCAAAAATGCCATTATCTTTGCTCTTCGAATCTTTTCCGTTTCATCTTCTTCAGGCTCCAATACAACTGCTTTCCGCTTGAGCGAAATGGGGACTGTGGGCGTGGATACCCTCAACACATGATTTGCTATACGTGTTAGATGTGGATCTGGATCGAGACACAGGGGTGGTGAAGTGGCTAACTGGTGGTACGTGAGAAGGGATTGCAGAAGACGATGAGAACTGCACATGCCAGAAGCTTGGCTTCAATTTCCAACGCATCCTTATCCGTCCACTTATTACCGTGACGTTTGTTCATCGCACATATGTCTGCCCAAAGGGTTTCCGAATTTGGATGGAGAATGACGCGAGTCCTATCTGGTTTATCGGGTGTAGGCTCCTTGCTACGCTGTGGACGATAGTCCAGTAGCTCCACAACCATACAGCCTGGAATTTGTGAGTCTCAAAGGTTGTGCCACCGTATTGCACTATAGACACACCATCGTAGAACGGAACATTGGCAGAGTCAAACAGCTCCAGAAAGTCGACGGGTATTCGGTGTGCCTGTATGTCGTCTAGGAGCGACTAATTCGGAGAGTCAGACGGCAACAACGAAGTGAATAAGTGGGTAGTCGGACCGCAATTTGGTTGTGGTAGAGAAACTTTGAGCCATTGTTCAGGACCCAATACTCGGGGTGTAAGTGGATAGTGAACGATGGGGGCTGTGATTCCGTCTTATCTAACAGTTCTTCGACATAGCGCGTCCGGTTGTAGCTGGCCATCTGACCATGAATGCTGTCGTCGTCGGACACAGTATTGAGCTCGGACTTCAGAATGATAGTGCTGACTAATAGCTGTACAAAGTGGCTCACGTGCACCAATATTGGACATCATGGACACCCAGCTGCGTGAGGTTGGTCTGCCAATGTCTCCTCACAGTGCCCATTCAATAACCACCCCAGCTCATCGCTTTTTTGCGAGACAGAAACCCTCAAGTCAGGCAAATTGCTTTGTCAAATCTTCTGCCTCAAACCCTGAAGGGTTCACCTCATCGAGACATTTTTTTTGGAGGGGTTTCAGCTGGGGGCTTACAAAAGGCAAAAGAAAGTGATATCATTCGGGATATCAAACTTCTTTGTCGGGATCAGCTGGTTAGTTTCTTGTATGTGTTCAATCGAAAGTTGAGCTTACCTCACTGCAGAATGTCGCTCATGATGCTTTCCGAGCCCTGATCAATCTCTCGGACTCTCCGTTGCTGCTTACACCGTTATCGGAACCGTCGTTCTTGAGCTTTATTGTCTCGTACATTATAGTGTGTTTGACATGCTTCTCCTTGAAAGAATTGAATTCACTGATCAACAAACATAGGAACCTCAGTCGATTCTTGCAGATCTCGCGTCGATGCTGCTTTCAAATCTCACAGCATCATCGGGCGCATGCTCTGTTTTGCTGACTCTCAAAATATCCGTTATTCCTCTTGCAAACAACATCTTGTATCCGACAGAATCAAGATGTGGATCATGTCCAGCCCCCGTTCCATATCCACAGGGTGAACCTCAACAAGTCATGGCCCTTCCCCTCTTACTGGATGCTTTCGTTGACGGAGCTACTGTTGGGGAATCTGAAGATCTGTCGAAACGAAAGCGGAAAGGAGAGCTTCATTTTCTTGCTAGCGTTTTTGCGAATATGAGTATGGTATGAAATTCCATCTCATTTCACCATGATATACTTATCCTACACTCTTTCAGTCACCTACGGGCCGCAATTTTTTTCTCTCCCCGCAACCTACCAACGTCCTCAAACCCGAAACCGATCTAGAGTACGCCCTCGCAAAACTTGTGCCCTTCACCGAGCACAAAAACACCATTCGCAGAGGTGGCGTCGCATCTACGATCAAGTACGTGTAACAGCAGTCTAGCTTCATCCGGTCTCATCCTTCTCCATCAAAGGAACTGCTCCTTCCACGCAGCAGGCCACAAAGCAATCCTCAGCCCTGAATCCGCCCTAGTCTCCGTCCCCCCTTCCAAGCTCCAGTCACGTGGAATCGACGCCCTTCCCTACTTGTTGCTCCCTCTAGCCGGACCCGAAGAATTCGAACTCGACGTTCGTATCCACTTTTTACCTTTGTGTTCTTACTTACCTCAACTCCAAGGACAGGACCAAGAAAAGCTCCTCGAACCACTCCAATTCCTACCGCCCACGAAAACTCGCGAGTCCGATCCCACTATCCGGCTCACACACGTAGAGACCCTCCTCTTGCTATGCCACACTCGCTGGGGACGTGATTACCTCCGTCAACACGGCGTCTATGAGATCGTGCGTGCAGCGCATATGGCAGAGACGGTCGACAAGGTGCCCACTCTTTCTTGACTTTTTTCTATTATGTATTAAAGACAGTGAACAGATCTCTGAACATATTGAGAGGCTTGTGCAGCTTATCCATGGCGACGAACCTAAGATCGCCGAGGCAGAGGAGTTGGATGAGTTGGATCAGACGGATGTGGCTTCGCCCCCAGCACCTTCAGCTTCAGTGGATGAGGACAATGAAGATTTCAAGATTGAGGAGATTTAAGGTGAAGTAAAGGATGTCTGACTAGAAATTGATGCATTGTTATCTTTATGTGCTTCTCAATCCCTCCATGGTGATTGCGTCGACGACCTCATATATTTAAGTCAGAAGCTTTAGATGGCGGCAAACATTTATGCTCTCTCCAAGCTTTGTTGAAAATATTGTTGAGATTTACGATCCCGTGACTTGGACCTTTACCTACTTCCTTTCATACCCCAAACACCAGCGAAACATACTCTCTTCATCAGATGCCAACAGTACCTGCGAGTCGACTCTTGTTGCATTTCCTCGCCTTCCCTGCATGATGTGTTCTTGCCAACGTGCTCTCTGCGATTCGTCTTGGATAATTTTGGCTCCTCCGATGTTTCTCCCAAATCCGAGTCAAGTCCCTATAAATTTCGGACTACTCAGAGTACTGCGCTCGATTTTTGTTCGGATTGACCCGTGGAGATGAAGCGGGAACGATGTCTTCGGGTCACGGAAGCAACTGTCGACATCTTGTAATGATTCGAACTGGGCTGTACGGTGGCTCAGAGTTTGCAACAATTCTCCCACCAGTTGGAGAGCCCTCAGGCATCACTATAAATAACTCAAACCACTACTAGTTCGCATGTCGACTCCATTACCCCCTTCTGCTTTTGAAGCGGTCGTCCTCACATGGGCAGAGCCCGCTCCCCCACGCCAACCAACTCCGACCGAAAACCCACCCGAGTAGGGCCATTCTTCCCACTCCGTACATCGTCGACTGAATCCCTCTTTCCAGGTATGAAACAGCCCAGCTACCAACGGAGACGATCACGTATTCCTTTTCTCCGAGCTCTCTGAATTCCATGATTCTCGTTCCATCCCCTCACGCGCAAGATACTCGACCTCGATATCATATAACCGTGAACGTTAACTGCTTCATGCCGTTGTCCCACATCACGACCGTTCGGCGCGGAGCCAACGAATTTGGCGAGTTCGTAGGCGATTTTGAGTGAGTTTTTCTCTTCATATGAGACTTGTTGGCTAGTTTGTTCACTATAAGCGCAGAATGGGAATCATTGACAGGGCAGACAGCATTTGTGTTCGTGGTAACGAGCTTCCACTATCATCTGTTGTTAATAAGGATGGTTCTCGCAGAACAGTTTGTCGAAATCTTCGTTAGGCCTGCTGTTGGAGTGCTAATCAATACCCTGATGCAGGCGAGTTGGATCTGGTCACCCAATGGGCGTGCTGCGAATAGAAGAGCGGTCCTTGTGTGGAGCGCTGCAACGAACCCCTACACAGTGCGTTCATAATAACTCAAGCAGTGTAATGAGCCCTCATCCCTCGTCTAGTGTCGTCTGACCGCCCCAGGAAGCACCATCATAGCTAAATTTTACCCTGTAGTGGCTATGCGAAAACGGAATGAACCAGCGCCCCTCGCCCAGCTAGAAGTTTTTCCATCAGGGCAAAAGCACTTCGATGACATACTTTTGTCACTTCTTGTCGTTGAGCGAAAACGTCTCACTCCGAGTTCGGGTGATTTTAAACATTTGTTCAGCCGCTGATTCATAGCGACCCCCAGACCATTTGAACGGTCGCAAACTACATAGCTGCCTCATAGCCAACGTACTATGCTGTTTAACACTACAGTTTGTATGGCGTCTGTAAGACGGTTATATAGTTAATATGCACAATAAGTACTTAGAATGCTGGATAAATTTGACCGCACGATTTGCCGGGGATGAGACACATACCATGATTTTTTTGGCTTATCTTCAAGGATCATGCGTCCACCTTTTCACAAGGCCGGAAACTGCCATTAGACGTCTAGATAAATTATGATTCATGAATATCGGTATAGAGATACAAAATGCAAATGTTTGACAAATGTTGTTGGTCTAAGATGCCAAAATAGTGAGACAGATATCTATCAACTACAGCAACAAAAAAAAAGGTCGTGAATAAACGTATAGGACGAACCAGATGGAAGCAAGAAGCAAGAGAGCGAGAAGCAAAGGCCTATTTCCACAGCCAGGGGAGGGGGGTATGGTAGGCGTATTGGTTGGAACACGGGGACGCGTTAGACTCAATAACGACATGGTTAATGGGGCCGTGTTACGCTCGGTGAGAAGCTGGTGAAGTTGGTGAGAACGCGTATCACTCAGCGTCGGTGGGAGGGAGCATGATACCACGCTTGGTGGGTACGAAAAGCCACGTGAAGCAGCTGAGAATCCTGAAGCCAACGCCAATTCCCAGCGTTCCGGCGGTACCAATTTTCTGTACTATGGCGCGGCCGACGAAGGCACCGGTGAATAGAGAGGCTGCAGCGATAAGTCGGTGATCTCGCGTCGTCACGCGTTGTCGGAGACGAAAGAGGCGTGGGTCAGACATGAGCTCCACCCAGATAGTTGTGAGTACGACTGTAACGGTTGTTAGCAATAGCATGGAGAGATAGGAAGAAAAAAATCAATACATACTGGTAGTTCCGAAATGAGTATTTAGTCTTTTCCCCAAGATACCTTGAACACCCAGACTAGCACTCATGAATGCGAGACCAACGAACGTCTCCACGCTTATCCACGCCGGATCGTCTCTAGCGTTCGATATACTCGGTTGGCCGCTCTTCCAAAAAATGATAGCAGCAGCCATGGTAAGCATAGCCTGGATGAAGGTGCCGCCGATGAGCCATATACGCTTGTGGGCACCCACACGGTCGCCAATGCGCCCTATGAACGCGCCTGCGTTGAAGGAGATTAGCGAGGTTAGTGCTTGTTGATCGGCTCTGTGGAACCAAGTGTCTCGGGACCCCGAAGGTCCGTTGAAGAGACGCGCTAGGGCGATAGCAAGCTGGAGGGGAGAAAGCGTGGGTCGTGTGATAAGCGGAGGAGGTGATGAGAAGATACCTGGACAAAGTTACCCGTTTGGAAACCGCACCAAACGAAAATTGCCGAGAAGGAGATGACATCTCTGTGGATGCATTGTGAGCAGGAGCATTGCATAAAATGTAGAAGTCAAGACGCACAGATAGCCAGTCATAAAACAGTATAAAGCCAACTGGCCTGTCGTCTGCGTCGTGTCTATATCTTCGTTCAAATACCTCCACCAAGAAGCCGCAGTATTGGGCCCCGCACGCTCAACATCGTCCTTCGCAGCAACGCTCCACGAATTGGCGGATTCCGCGTCAACTGTCGACGTTGATAAGGATAAGTCATCATAATGTTGCTCTTGCGTTGGGACAGCCAGATTAATCTTCTGGTCTGCCATTTGACGAGGGAAAAGGCAGCGCAGAGAGGCCTATTAAGCGGGGAGAAAAATCCTGTGAGGGGCGCCATAGTAAAACAAGCCTTTTGTAGGTTTGAAGAAAGTTTTTTTCGGTCAGAGATCATATCCGGGCGAGTACATGCCCAAGTTACCCGACGCGACTCCGTTAAAATTTATTGGCTGAATGTGAAATTTTTGTAGTTCTCCTACAAATTATGCTTATAAACGGTCTAGAATCAACCACTTTCTGTATCATTCGATATTCCAATATACAAATTGAATTCTGTGATGATGGTCATAAACACGAATCGAGTGGGTATAAGTAGGCGACAAACCATTGCTCTGCGTGGACGGTGAATCTACGCGGTATGTACGCTGCATCCAACGTCAACGGAACACAGTTGATATCAGAGTCTATTATCACGCGGAGGGATTGGAATCGTTCAAGTCGGGCGTGTGCGTGATGACACGTGGATCGTGAAAATAGTTAGCCGCGTCTCGATTCCCGACTCAATAGAATTCCATTCTAGCCTTTGCTCGACTTGAGCAGTAGGGAAGTTGGTGAGTCTAATATTTGGAACGCCCCTTGTGAGGCGGTGAGGAGAGGAGGGGGTAAGGAGCGACATGGTCGATGGTTCAGACAAGTTCCGACAGTGACACAAACGCGTCTGGCCCAGTCGGGTTTGAGAGGAAGGGCTAGGAAGGGGGAAGTTTGTCGATGTTGACTTGACCAGGAAAAGGGGTTTCCAGTTCCGGTAGAGACTAGGGTTGGACTAGGGCTTGCGCGCGTGGATGGTGGCGCCAAATTTGTATCGTTTGTGGTGTAGGTACACGACAAATAGTACAGCTCTAGTAGTATCGCATTCTGCAGACTCTCTAGTGCATGGGCTCCAGGAATTCCGCTGAGCAGTTGGTCGACAATGAGGCTCTCTTTGTCCATGACGGTCGTTTGGTCAATCGGAATTGTTGCCAGATTGTAAACCATAGTGAACTGTGAAGGTGATGAGCTGAAAATGCTGGACCAATCCGGGAGTCCCGGACCGGCCTGTATCACTTGAACCACCTCACCCCGATACAAAACCGACACGAGTGGCAGGCGCATCGATGGTATCGTCCAAATGTTCTTGTTCTTGCTGGTTCTATCGTTTCAAATTACATTGCTGGCAAAGAGCGGGCTAGGCAGCCTACAGGGTAGTCACATCTATGATCTGTGCCACTGAGGATCACAAAACACTTCAGATATCTGTCTCGGGGTCAACCAAGCAACCTGTTTGAAGTTGGAATTCAAGGACGACATTCACTGCACGCGCAACTTACCAAAATCCTATGTCAATGCGCTGCTAATCAGCTATAATTTACTCACTGGCAGGACGTCCAACTTCGACGAGGAAGCCAGTGAAGTTCACGCTCGCAAGCGGCTGAGCGCTGGATGTTGATATCATACAGCTCTGTAGCTCTGTCTAGTTACTTACTGGGCACGATCTAGTTTGAACATCTGGCACTTTATGGATGGCCGTTTTCTTGAGACTTGCAATTGGCTGAAGCTCGTGCTCCCGAAAAGGAAATTCTGATATTTTTAGACCTGCCTTCCTTTTTCCAACTCTGCTCCATATCCTACATTCCGCGCGACGATTTTGGTCTGTTTTCGCCCGAACCGTATGTTTTCAGAATCTTGCAATGCTTTCAAGACGTAGCTCCAGTTTAACGACCTCGCTGTTACGAAAACGCTCGAGTTTTCTGCTCAAGCTAAAAGGCGACAAATCTCTCGACAAGCCAAGCTTGTTCCCATCCCCTCGAGTTCCCACAGAGATTTTAGACGTTATTATCGAGTTTTTCATTGAATCTATGGCAGACTCGAAGTTCTGCGCGCCATATGCTTACATTGTTGCCTTGACTCTGGTGTCGACCGATTTTCGACAACTTGCTCTGCGACACTACTTTCGACACCTTATGCTTCTCAGTCGGCGACACTGGGCTAGTCATTTTATCCTTCTAACCTCGGAGCACGATAAAAATCAATTACGAAGATGGTCGGGAGGTTTCTCATGGGTTAAGTGCGTATATGCGTCCTTGTCATTCTTCAAAGCAGGTATTGAAGCGCATATATCAGGTCACTCTGCTCCTCCTCTACCATCCTCTCCTATCAACCTGAACGCCTTGGCCGATTATCTCACCTGAACACACTATCCATCGATTTCGGCCGCGAAGGCTTGGTGACGCAGGACCCACGCGTGAAACAACTGCTGAATATTTTTGAAAGTTCCCCCAGTGCTTCCAGCTTAATCTCTTTGACTTTATCGAGTCTCCCCGCTATTGACGTCTTGTTGCTGCGACTTATCGCGAAAGTCTTCGGGTCACTGACTGATCTCTATCTCTCTTCGACGGAACGCCTAGAACTAACTTGCTGCAACGCCTGCTACGAAGAGAGTCTGAGCCGTACGGTTCATTCTCCCATCCCGGACGTCTACTTGACGCCGGAAAAACTTGCTGTACGTTCTCAAGTATTCGAAGTCGTACGCTGTAGCACTTCTGACACTGGCATTAGACTGAGTTTGCTTTAGCACTAACGCCTCTTCAGAAACTTACTCATCTCCACATTGGAATTTTTTTGTCGCCTGAAAAACTCCTTGAATCTCACTCGGACCATTCTGAACTGGTTCCCGTCGCAGGATGGGGCTGGGACGTCATAGTTGACTGTAAAACATGCAAACGATTTGCCAGGGGAGTCCGAAACGACGAATTGGTTGTTAGCTCGACGATGGCACAATATCTAAAGTCTCTCAAAAGCATTGGGTGGAGTACGTGTTTCAGCCGAGCGGACGATTTAGAAAACCAGAAAACGAAGCCGGATCCGGAGGAGGAGAGAGATGATGAAGAGGCGAGGGAAGAAGATTGTAGCCGCGAAAGCAGTCAAACATATCATGACGACTCTGACACAAATGTCGACGATTCCTATGGTGATTCGTCGGAAGACTCGGACTCGGACGAAGATATACGCTTTGATCGCTCTGGGTTCATGAAGACGACGATCCTGGTCTCCAGAGCCAACAAACGAATTAGAGTAACGAGGCTTTTGTAGCATGTTCGATGATTTTCAGCGCTTTGCCACTCGGAACGGAAATTATGTGCCACTTTCTATACCTTTTATTATTACCTAAATACATCACCTTGACGATGGAAGCCACCAAGATTGGCTGAATCCAGCGGCAAGGCTGAACAGATGCCATGTGGCGAGGCCACCAGTGTATAGTGTGCCTGCCGGAACAATGAAAAGTCGGGAGCACAAGTGGGGTGCATGACTGGCCACCGCCGTGCCACTATCCGATGTGGCCTGGACAGACCATATAAGATGGTGGGCTATCCAACATCGACTTCAACCAGCACCTTGTTGCTATTCCTCAACCTCGAGCTTGTGCCACTTGACGATCCTCTGATCCCAACGTTTTCCTGCATTCCCCGCATCCTACTATCCTCACTAGCACCATGACTGCATCTAGATCTGACGAGAAAACCGCCGAATTCGCTAGGCTCTTCAACCTATTCGAACGCCTTGCTTCTAGACGCGCCAGAACTGCGGACGCTGGCGCCGTCCTCGACGACGTTCGATCCCTTCCCGTTCCAGCGGACCTTGCTCCCGTATTCAAAAACCTTGCCACCATCGTTGGCACACGCGCGAGCACTCGAGATACATCATCCCACCCTGGTGGTCGTCCACGACGAAATACTGTCGCCGTTCCGAACAAGGACCTTGCCAACATGGACACGGACGACGACGACGAATGCGACGATGAAGCATCGCTCGCCAAATTTCCTTTGGGAAAGCAGTACCCATTTACGTTCAAGCTAATGCTGCACAAGTTATACCAGCTCGATGACTGGGCTAAGAAGGTGAAAGATGTTTTGGAGAGGTCACAGCTTGATTATAAGCCTCTGGCCGAGCAAGTAGAGCCGAAGAAGATTGATAACGATATGGAGGTGGTCGTCGAGAAAGATGGTCATGTGCACTTCCAACCTGGAGTCACCACTGGCGGCGGTCGAAGGGGAAGCCTTGCTGTTCGTCCTCGCAGCCATTCGACTGCTGGAGTTGGCAGACAGCCTGAACCAAAGTCACCACGGGGAGGAGAAGGGACGAATGGGGCCAGGGCTCTGAAGAAGCGCTGTGTGGGGCGAAGGAAGTCGATGACGGAGCAACTTGCTGCGGAGCCTGGCAGACTTGGTGGATGGATCTATGACGCGGCTGTTTCGTCGGTTGAAAGACAGCCAGTCGTCACCTTTGTTGCTCTACCACCGGCTCAAGAGACGCGCTCGAGATATCAGTCCTTGGAGGGAGGGAAAAAACCGAGGCCGATGAAGAGGAGGGTTAGTGCTGGAACACCTGGCGACTTTCTACCAAGAATGCCACTTCAGCCTCTCAATAACGCGGGAACTGCTTCGACAAGACGAAGAGCTTTGACCTTCTGCGATTTAAGCCATCAGTCGCAGCAAAAGCAGGCGAAACGCCCCTTCACGCCTTGAAGGATCGCGTACAACTGCAACTTTTTCTTTTTCATGTTTGGGACTTTGGGTTTCTGCGCGCCTCGAATCTGTTACTTGCATCAACAACTTGTACAATATTTAGCATTATCATTTCATATCACCGTTTCTCATTGCTGGCATAAAAAGTCGTCACAGGTCTCCGGACCCTCCGAAAGCGAAAAAGCCCCCAGATACTCCCAATCGTGATATCTGGGTCGCTAGTGAGCATTTCATGTCACAGAAACCCAATTATGTTACGTCGGGGACACACCACGCCACCAGAGACGGGCATCGTTGACGGCGACCTGTTCGTCGGAAGAAGAAGGGAAATCCGTGGTGAAATTTTTCAGACGACGAAGGGCTCAATGTGTGAACATTTGTTAAATGCGCATTGACCGTGTAACGCCATGGTAGACTTAGGTCGTTGATCTCCTACGAAAGGCAACCAAACCGTGGGAATGGATAGAGCGCCGTCAGTGATGTGGGGTAAAATGACTAGACGTGTGGGCGTGGATTGGAGTTGGGTCTGCCTGTCTTTGTCAAGTCAACGTCCGTTACTGTTGGCGAAGGCGGAGCCTGAATGCATTTTTTGATGCTCGGGAGGCTGGATCCAAATAGTCCTCATAAAATCCTGCGACAAATCCTTCTGCCTTGAACCCAAACTGGTTATACAAAAGCTAATGTGCCAGGATTTGTTAAACTACCGATGGCAAGCTGGGGAAGGCCGAACTTACCATTGCAGAACTATTCACAGAAACGTGCAGCGTGATGTCCTTTCCCGGGTTCAACGATATGAGGTGATACAGTACGGTCCTGTCGGCCAGGGTCAGTTCAAACGCAGCACATATAAAGGGCGCCAACCTTGCAATTTGGGCTTTATCCCAACCGGCCCTAACGGCAAGATATGTAATGTATGTTTCCCGCGGAGAGCTGAGAATAGCAACACCAACAACGAGTTTTTTGTAAGTCGCGATAACGGTCGACCTTTCTGGCCAGTAATCAAGGGAGTCCGTAACTGAGGTCCGACGGCACTTCTAAGCGAAAACGAAACTGACATTTAGAGTAAGTAGCTCACCATCAATGCCCGTCCAGAACACGCGTTCCAGGAGGTCATGAATCTGAGATAGCTGGGAGGCTTGGAGAGACGTGTAGATAATCGGGGCAACAGTTTCGATTGGCTGTTCCCTGTCAGCGCTGACCACGATCCAATGGAAAGGTTAGACACGTTCGGGTGTGACCGACATTGGTTGGTGCTTACTGGGCTAAGCTATAATGGGCACGAATGTCTGTCATCAGACTCATCCAAGGAGTGACGGTTTCCCAGTCGATGGCAATCACCCCCGGCGGCTCGCCTGCCCTGGTACCTTGCAAACGCGAGATGAAAGAGTTCTCGAAAGGTGTCGTATGAATTGAGTAAAGAGCATCCAGAACTTGGGGGTTTGCAGGAATAGGTGGGCGAGCGGGGTTCAGTGGCGTCAAAGGTGCCTCTAGAGCGTTGATGCGCTGGGGATTGAACTTGATTCGGCGCCTTTGCTTTTTCTGAACGTTAGACAGATTGCTTGTCCTTGTCAAAGGTACTTACTCGGTCTAGCTTGAGCTTGCGAAGCGCTATGGTGTCGAGGAGAGAAGATGGGCCTCCGAGGGGGCTTCGATCCACCACGGACGAAATTTCGGATCGTGTCAGTGGTCTGAGGACATTTCCCTACATTCATACGGTGAGCCAGAAGACACTTCCCCTCCCCAACAGAGCCTTACTAGTTGGTCTGTCTCAATTTCCTTTTCTTGAAACGTTGCTCGAGTATGAAGGTATTCGGGGAGCAGTTGTTCAATAACTTCGTCGAATGCAGCACCGCCTTCTCCTTCGGTTTCCACAAGCTCAAGAAGAGGAACCAGCGATATGCCTTTGGCAATGCCCACCTTCTTCTTTACTCGACCATCGTTTCTTTTCCTTCGTTTTCGAGGACGTTGTCGCAGCTACGATGTGTGTTGTGGGTGAGTAGTATTCAAAGCACAAAGAGTACAGTTGTAACCTCTCTTTTCTCGTCATATTCATCGTCGCCAGCGCTTGGCTCGTCATTTGAGCTCATAACTCTAGGGAAAAAACGAACAGAAGATCTGCGCAGGTCGTAATGAGCCGGAGCAAGACCAAGGTCGGACCATTTATATAAAGTTCACATTTATCTTTTTTGGCCTTTTTCAGCTTACTTACTCCCAATCACAATGCCCAGGAATCGACAGGCTACTTGACAGTCACCATAATGACCTGGATTTACCCTCGAGGATTAGTATACTCACACTAGGGTATAGCGATTGCGGGCCACGGCAAGCAAGCACCCTAGCAAGGTGAAAAGTCGTCAGTTGAAGCGTTCATGGCCGCTGGATGTCCAAAACCCATTCACTGTCACAACAGTCGGCAGTTTATGCCTTCCGTGGCTGTCCTGGGCAACCTCTCACCTGAGGCGAGATACCCGGTGTTCTCGAGGCGGAGTCCAGTGTCCGCTGAAGGTCGTAAATTACGGCAGACCTATCATTCTATGAGTCTGATCCTCGATTGAATCACATACCTCTCGTCGTTACGAAGGTTTTGTCAACGACGATGGTCGTTCAGCGGGGAAAAGACAGTAATGGTATCTGGAGCGCTGCAACGTTTGCAAGAACGAATTCGAAGGCTGGGAGCGTTAGCCTGAGTTTATAAGCGTGGAGAGGAGGCAAGCACCTTATCGCGTCCTCTTTTTCTATGATTTAACGATGTGGGTGCAGAGTTAACGAAGAGAGGGCCAGGCTTGGCGAGATCGCTTGAGGCGTTACCCTTGCCGATGGGCTCGAGAAGAGGATGGCCGTTTAGTTATCTTTCTTGAAAACGCCGTGGCAACTCTTCCAAACTGGAGCTTCACTCCCACCGTAGACGGTTGGGAACACACGTGAGCTATTTTCAGGTCAGAAGTAACGACTAATCTCATCATTCGTTGACTTTCAAGTCTAGGAACTTCTTTTACTGCTTGTGTTTCCACGTCTGTCTCAAACGCCGGAGATTGTTGAAGGGTGCAACTTGGGGAATTCCTGTGTCAGCAGCGATGTTCTTTTCAGATCAAATTTGAATAGCTTTAGAAGCTGGAGCCCTCCAAATGACTTTTTTGACAGTAGCACCGTTACACACATGAGTAAGTTTTACTCCATACTTCTCCTCCTTCAGCTCACTCATGAAGCGCAGAAGTCAACCCCAACGATACCACGAAACAGAGTGTTGAATGATCTTTGCTATACTTCCCTGACAGAACCTTAACTTTGTTATCATTGAACTCGTTGTTTGTCCGCGCATCGAGCGAATCGACCCCTCCATCGTCCACTGCATTGACGGATTCTGGGGGTCGCCTCATGTGGCTCTAAATCACAGCAGGTTGGTGGGGCCTTTCTGGGCCCCACTCGCCCGCTCCGGTCCAATCTACTCACAGCCAGGGTTCTCGTAGGATCGCTACCTCTCACCTCCCCACTATGATCAAGACTGCTATGGTCTTGATGCCCTTAAACACAAAAACAGAACCCTTGACGGCGCGCGGTCAACATGCAACTCTTGTTGTACCATCAACCTCTGGATCCCTTGCAAAGGCTATCTCAATGCTGTCTATTCGAAATGACTTCGTCAGAGTGCGACCCATCGGAGGCCATATGGTCAAAACTTGTGTCGGGCAGCCTCGCTCACTTATCACTCCGCCGTTGTTCACTCCACCCGAAATGTGGTACTCCACGCGGTCAATCAAAAATATCATCCAGGTCACTCTGGTTGCAGAACGGAATTTAAGAGGAGTTAACCAACAACTCCCGTCGAAGAAGTCCTGTCAAATCAACTAGATCAAAGCCGCATTCTAGCAGTCAGAACAGCAGTGAACCAGATCTCACGCTTATTTGCTTTTGTGTTCTGTTTTAGCGCGCTCGAAGCTTTCAAGACCCACCTTCCCCCAATGTCATCAGTTCGCCAATGTCACCCCAGTGGGCGTATTAATGTACCCTAGCCTCAACGACGACATGTTCCATCATCTCACAAAGATTTCATTCAGCCCGAGGCAATCCCTCTGAGCTCCGAGCGTTCACAACGATGTATGGAGTCTATGGACAGAAGGAAGGCAGGGAATCTGGGTATGGTCAGTCATTTGGGTTGACGTCTTGACGGCTGTGGCGGTGCTTGCATTGTGAAGGTGCAACCTGGCCCAACTACATACCTAGCCTTAGCCGATGATAGCGTTATAAAACGGATCTAATCAAAGAAACACGATGTGGTCAACTGTGGAAAATGAGCTCATGCACAATGAAGACTCTGAATATTGCTGAGCTGACGACGTTCTGAGGACTTAAAGTATGATCCTTGAAATATCGCAATCATAACTACATATATACCACCTGCTCATTATGACTGATATCTCGACAAGAATTGCGTCCTGCTACCTGTTGGCGCACGGCGCATGTTGAGACCCACGTTGTCGCCAGACATTCAATCTGTCGTCTATAAAATTCTAGTTGACTCTTGCCAGTGTAGAGCGTGGTGCAGTGGAGAGATATTTGCTGTCTGTGAGAAGACACTTGGAATATCGCCAGCATCGGGTGGCTGGGAGCTCGCTGTGTTTTTCTGGTGGCTAATCTTAGGTTTACATAACAACGGCGGCGCCGAGAAGCAAGATTGTTGCCACAAGAGTGAGGATGACTAGTCCTTTGGTGCGTAGATTGTTCTTTGTTCTTTTGAAGCTGGCTGAACCGTTTGGCACCAGTGTTGGGTCGCCCAGTCCAAGCCAAGTCTCTATGCAACATCATTGAGATGCAACAAAGAGGCTGGCCACACCAGTTAGAATCGACGGAGATAGTGAAGATTCTATAAATATGTTGAACATTAGATTAGTTAGGCGATGAGTGCTGGTAAGGGTACAAGCAACAAAAGTGTGGGTGGCAGCAGTAGCTGGAATTACAGCAGATCCAAGAGATAGAGTGAAGTACATCCAGGTTCCAAGGAATGATTATAGCAAGGGAAAGCATACAACAAGCAGAAGGAGCGGTCGTGGATCCAACGAAGGAGCCAAAAGTAAGAAAAAGCAAATGTAGTCCATGCGGCCAATAACCAAGTGTTATCGCTATAGGCGTGTAACGGCCTTGGAGTCGAGGGGCATGCCTGCGTCGTCAATATTTGAGTCATTGGTGCCGATGACTCAAAGCTGTGCAGCTTACCAGAGGGGTCAATACCATTGCGAGCCAGGATGCGATTATGGCGAATCAGCCTCGCTTGGTCAAAACTGAAAAAGGAAGAAGTCAGAAGTGTAACGGTATGGATAAGATGGCAATACTAACTTGACCCGCTCGCGGCGCATGATCTCCAAAACCTCTTGTGTCCCTTGGTCATCCAGACCCGACCTGGAGTCTCCACCGCGAATGTTGGCCTCAATATCAAAGGTATTTGACGAGATGCCGGCACTCAATTGTTCTGAGAACGTCGAGAGTGGCGTATAGTTGCTCAACCTGGGAAACAAGGACCGTACGCCTTCTGGCACATGGGGAATGATCAAGTCGCGGTATCGATATGTCACTGCGGAAGTATGTCAGATTAAACAAGGAAATGAGCGCTGTTTGAACCTACGCATGACCAGCAAGGAAATAAAGGCTACCAAGGAGAAGAAGAACAACATGATAGCTAGATTTATACAAGAATGCTGTGGGTGCAATCTGGGTGTTGTAGGGGGGCGGGCCGACGTTAGTTGTCACTGTCACATGTGATGTGTAACGTTGAAAGGGTTTGCACAGCTGCAACAGTCATTTATGGTCAAGAAAATGTTGCTATAGATCTGATACTCGTAAAATCTTTTGAAAAACCACCACTATCAGCCTGTATTTTCGCGATGAACCTCTTCGACGATCTGCAGGTAACGATCTCAACGCGCTTAGATATCTTCGATACTCACATCTATTCGGCGCTCACTCTAGAGCAAATTCTGCCCACCCTTGGACACATCCCTCCTAGCGGCCTTGTTGGCTGAAGTAGATTTGGATTCTGATGGCAATGCCGTCTCATCAACGGATATGGACACTCTGCGTGCCACGCTCAGCGAACTCGCTGCTCAGGCAGACGAATCTCAGCTCTCAGAGTTCTCAGATCTCCAACTAACATCGCCCACCGATGATTCTACCAGCACACCGGAATTCTATTATGGAATGACGCCCACCACAAGTTCATTGGGCTCAGATTCATCAAGCTCATCTCAGGCTTCATTTAATTCTCCTATCGGATTTCTACAGGCCGCCCTGCCACATATTTCTACGGAGACCCTCAAAAATGCCCTTTCAAATGCGGAGAAGGATAACGTGGAGGTGGACATGTGGGACGTAGTGGCAAGCATCCTTACTGCGGAATCGATCCGCGAACTCGAGGAAAGAGGCTGGGACGGGTTAAATGAAGATGAAGATTTTTGTCACTTTTTATGTGACGACGAGATTACATGGGAGACGGTCGAGACGAAAAAGAAGAAACATAAATCTCACGAGCATCAAACTCCGAAAAGGAGAACGGTCCGCCCAACAAAAGTGACGCTGGTAGATATCCGCCAGCGTCAACACGTTCACCAACCATCGAAGACGATTGGTGCACCTCCCCCGGATCCTTGGACTCGCCTTTCATCTCTCTCCACACATTTGGCGACGCTGCTCCGCCCGCATCCTGCGTCACTGTTTCTGTCCTACTTCCACTCTCCCGACTATCCAACTCCTTACGTTGCGCTGTGTTCCGCACTAGAATCCTTATCCCAAGACCAGCAAACTTCTGATGAACGCACAACAATGCTCTTCAACTTTCTAGACATTCTTCTCCCTCAATACGATAATCTCGAAGTGGAACAACGTTCCAACCTCATATCAGACATCGAACTTGCCGTTAAAGTAACGGAAGGTAGAGAAGATGACGCCTTAGATCTCATTAATCTTTTGCGTGAACTAGATTCGGACTCATCAGGTCATCTAGAAATGGGAGTTTACCATTTCTCGTCTAAACCTTCTCCTGCTCCTTCTGGCACAATAAAACGGCTTCCATCAGCGCCACCGCCCATCCCACCCCCTCCGCATAATAAAAGAAAGCTCAAGCCACCATCATCTCATAAACCCAGCCCATACCAATGGCAGTTAGTACCGGAGCGCAAACCTGTTGACCGAGGTCCACACCCATTAGCACACCACATCCCAGCATATGCACGTGACGTGAACGGGGTAAAAGTCAAGAATAAAGCTGGAGGTAATCTTGGATCGGAAGATTATCGGAGAAAGGTAGGCGAAAGGATGAGGAAACGGGATGAGCTATTGCGTGAAGCTGCAAAGATGTGGCAGAAGGGGAACAAGAAGACTCGAGGTGGGGAGGTGGCGTTTTATTTTGCGGAGAGGGTGAGTGCGTTTGCTGTGTTTGGTAGCGAGGCTGATTTTGGGGGTTGGAGGCGAGAGAGTTCCAGGAGATGGCGAGGCAGGAGGCGTTGAACGCCGCGAGAGTTCTGGTTGAGTCTAGGAGGTACCTAGCTCGTTTTTTCTGTTATTTTCCGCTTTGACTGACGTGTTTCGTTGATAGGCTCGCCTCTCGAGGTCAGGATACAGTCGATTTGCATGGAACTACGGTTTCAGAGGCTGTCGTCATTGTCAAAGAGACCTTGCGTACCCAAGCTGCTTCTCAGAGTAAGATCATCGACTTCTAATCTCATCAACAAGTTTACCCAGCCATTCCTTTCAGATAAGCCCCTGAAGATCATTACCGGACGTGGGTCACATTCAGTAAACCAAGTGAGCGTCCTGAAGCCAGCTGTTCGGAAAGCCCTAGTCGAGGACGGATGGAATGTGGCATCCTGGGATGGGGGGCTTGTGGTCCGAGGAAAACACGGGGCTGCAAGCTAGCTATCTGTGCACGCGTCTGGCCTTTGTCCCCTCTTTGCGTTTCTGGCAGCGCTGGCCGTCTCCTCCTTCTGGCTCCGTGACCCCTTTGACATTGCCTTTTCCACCCTCCGATCGATCCCTGCGCCAGATACGACGCTCAAATTTTAGGGAACTCCCTGATTAGGATCGTTCCAACGTCATACCTCTACGTTACCCAAGTTCTTGTTCGAATCCCCGCTGGACCACACTCGCAACCCAAGGCGGCTCGTTCCGTCCTGCTCGCCTTTCTGCCCCGGTCGCACTCCAGCTCCACGATCGTCTATCCACCGGATTTTTTAATCGTGACTCCGCTCTTTCTCCCCTTCCTCCTTCTGCCACTTCCAGTGGGTCTGAGCTATCCTATCTGGTCACTACCCAGACAAAAAAAGTTATCAAAGACCTGAAAAGGTTGTTTGACTTTGGTCTGTCACGACCTACCCATTCCGTGTCTTGTTCTCAAACCCTCTATCTTCAAAACTTTTATCTATCTCGGCCTCTATCTTTATTATGTCTTGTTCTGATTTGTCGAACGTTCCTCGTTGTTGGATATACCTGGCTTTCATGTACGTCGTGATCATGATCATGTTCTGCCTCGCGTTACTCTTCCTTGTGTATTACCACACAAGCACCTTGTATCGTACACTGCTATGAGTATTGTAGCACTAGATTTTTTGTACTATTCCTTATTTCGAACTCAGTGAAGTCAAGTTTAAGTTGGCTCGTGCCTTGGGGCGCCAGTGGCTGTGAAACTGACAGTAACAATTTTCAAGCTTCAAGCGCTCAAAACCATGAAAATTTTGGTCATCTGTCTTCCTAGATAGCGCTATTCCACTCTCTAAGGCAACTTGGACAGAACTTGGATCCAGGCAACAACTGATCTCTTTGGCAACTCTTTGGTTCTGTTATTTTTGCGGGCTTCTACACGCACCTCTTCTGCTCCGTGAGTCGGACCGTGACGTTTGTATGTCAGTCGACTCCTCAATGCCAAGGTGAGATTCTTGCTTTGTTTTATCAGTTTAACGAGCTGGGAAAGTGTTTCAGGATTCAGTGTTCGGTTTAAAAATGAACGTCAGTGAAGCGAGGCTATGGGAACAAAGCCTGCTCGAATTATGCGTCCGGACAACGCATATTTCCGGGTTACTGTTACTCTTTTGATCAGCCCGCAAAATACACAAGGTGTCAATGGGTCTGGCGTCTGCTAAGTATGTGACCAATCACTTAACTTTCACTGGTTCCTGTCTGTTGAGTTGGCGTTCCGGATGCAGATCGTCCACTCTGGTTTTTAACGGTCCGTTGAGGGCGATGAGGGTTATCAGATACGAAGCGTTACAGTTTACTAGCCATCCCAGTAATATCGCGGCCCGTGGCGCCGGGGGCGACGGAGACTTAGGCGATACGATTCCGGTATGGACTCATTGACATGCAACGATGGCGGCGAACCTAACCCGCTTTGAAGATAAATAAAATATATGATGTCCACCCGACGAAAGCCAGGAAAGGTGAAAACTCTCCATTGAACGCATGCGCTACAGTTCGTCGGATGTTTTCCAGTCCTGGAGTCGTCCACTGGCAACTCAGCGAACTCACGGAGCCCGAGAGCTTGACCTTGAATGTATCTTCACCGGATCAACGCCAGGTCTGCCCGCGCTTGATTCTTCAGATCATCATGTGGCCAACCCTGAAGCTACTTAGCAGTTAGGTTCCGTTCAACCATCTTTCATTGAGTTCAGTCATGATGGCAATCTTGACCAGATTCTGGGCTCTTGATATCGATCACAGAATATTTGGATCTCGCTGTACTTTATCTAACCCCTCATAGGACTTCACACGAATGAAGGTCATGGATAATGAATTCTTTTGTCTCCTTTTCGCCACTTGACCCCACAATCTGTCAGAAACCTGAACGCACAAAATGAATACGTGTGTGCATTCCGGCGAGAGGTTCCGAATGCCATTTAGGACGGAGTCTTGACTGTTCACCATTCCTCGACGATGAAGTCACCGAGAAGTCTTCAACCCCATGATGCCATCACCCATCGGAGCATCCCTGAACGGTGGACGAACTCGGAGGTTAAGTATACGCAGTTCTTAGAGGCCAATTGGCGAATGGTTTAGCAGATGGAACATCCAGCCAATGAACTGTCGGTGAGTCAAATTTAACAGATTTCTTTGGTGCAGGTCGTAACTAATCTTGACTCGAAGGGATTGGCAAGGTTCGATATCTTCCCTGCCTGTTCTGTCAAGGCGATGTTGAACTAACTCGAATTTGACCAATGACGAAAGGAAGCATCACTGGTGGCGCGGAACTTCGTTATGGTTTCCTTGTCTTCTTTGTTTCAAAGCTAACAAAGGAAAGCGCTGGAAAGCGTCCAATTGTTCAAGCGACGTATCTCCGTAGGGCTCTGGGAACTTTAGAAGATGACCGGGCCCCGTTCCCCACAGTGTGCACCACATCCGTTGCTCCTCAATCCTTGTCCTTTTGAATCGCGGAAACGGTTTACCTCTTTTCGCGGTTCATCAATCGAGGATGCCCTGTAATCTGTGGCTACTTTCTGCAGTCCTTCTGCGTTATTCCCTGTACATCAAGGCAACAGAGCGCTCTAATTCACTGGCATCAAGGCAAAGCCCGGACAAACCCTGAAAGACGTTCGGTTGAAAGCGATTTACTGCTATTGAGCTCAGCGCAAATCTTTTCTTAATTCAATCTGTTTCGACGGTCTTGCACTGTCGCTATATATAGATCTTGTCGGCCCGGATTCCGCCTCATTCAAGCGTGAGTGCCATATCTATGTATGTTCAGAGGCGTTATTGTCATAGAGGCATCTGAACTCGACTTTCGTTGCTTCTACGCAGTCGTATAATTTCAAATTGAACATGGGTGTAATAACCTCGGCACTTGATGAAAGAAAAAAAAACTATAAAATTCTCCGCTTTAATCTCGACAATGATAGTAAAAACTTTTCTATGAAACATCGGCCTCAAAGCTCCTCGCCTCGTCCCACGAACTTTTCTACCATCGTCAGGTACCGGATCGCTCCGACTTGCAAGAATACGGCGTCGGTCTGATTGACCTGAGCGCTTAGCGCGCGCGCACGCGAGCTATGTATGTCCAGGATGTTTAACCGCTGACTCGTCTCGGAGTCTGACGACCCTTCAAGTTTGCCCTGCGTTCAAATTTACTGAAAGGCAGTACTTACTTGACTCAAACTTGACATCAGTCAGCATTATTGAGTCAACTATATTGAATCTGGGCGTCTAAAAAATGTGCTCACTTCAGAAAGCCTACGTGAAAAATTAAACTATTCACTACTACATCAAATCGACTCTTTCCTAGAGGCTAGTCATCATCAGCACCATGACGGCGAAAGCACTACAACACAGAGACGGAGCCGAGGGACAAAAAAGCGGACCATTTATCGGACTGTTTTGGGTGGGAAGAATGTTGTTGCAAAAAAAAAAAAAAAAAAAAAAAAATTTCTGTCTTCAATCAATGTCCGCGAAGCATCCGAGTCGCAACTCGTCGTCGAGCGAGCGCCTGGACGCCAGAATCTGATATGTACTTACGTCCAAATGCAATCCACATGTTACCCAAAGAATTTATTTAACCAAGGTTTGCAAAGTTTCGATCATCCTAAAGTCGGGAAGTTGAAAGTAAAGCTTACTGACAGCCTCTCCCCATTCGTACCAACTGCACACGCACAGTTCGCACATCCGTCAAAAACGGGGTGACTGTCATAGATGCCAGAGATGTAGGTAAGTAACAAAGACGAAACTTTTTATTCTTGGTATTGAAGTTTTGAGAGCCCCCTTCGGTACTAATGATCATCTCCCGACGATGGTCTTCGCTCCGCTCGGGGGTCCAGTTGGAGCAAGCCGGACGAGAAAATTCTCCAGAGGGGAACCTTCAACCGGTCTCGAGTTCAATTCCGAATGGTTACAAGATTTATGATAAATGGGATTAGGATGTAGTGACCACTGTTCCACATGACTAGATACGGACACGAACCTTTTGCTGCAGTCAATCATATTCCGTTTTACGGACAAGAACAACTGGCACATTGTTGAAAATTTCATATCAAGTAAAGGATACATGTCCGAGTCCCCAATCCATTGCAAACTATAAAATACATGTGGACATCGAAAACACAGAAACTTGAAGGCAGGACCAACAGGCGGTATCCGATAGAAGCGAAAACAAAAGCAGCTTCATGGTAGCAATAACGAGACAGGACTAAGAAAACAAAAAGCCAGAGAACGAGAAACAAGCAAAGAGCAACACGACAGCGACCGCCAGAGATGTATTGCTGAAAACAGCATCGAGCAACGAAAGTCCACAACGTGACAAAAGAGATTCTTAGCGTTGACCTAAGAGCGATCTGGTGGCAGAGACATTTGAGAAGTTTCGGAAAGTTTTGCCAGAAAACCAGAGATAGCAAGGTGGCGAGCTTGACGTCGACAACGAACCCTAGAAAACGAAAAGAGCTCAGCAACAAAAAGGACTAAAGTGCAGGATATAATAAGATCCAAAAACCACAACATCTCTCACCGAAAAAAGTGCCCTGCCAAACCATATTTATCAGCAGAACTTCAAGACACGATTCAAAGAAAACAACAAACGCCTCGTTCCTTCATCAGATATTCAAAGGATCAGTGCCCACATGCTCCATATCACCATCATCAAGTTCATCCAGCATGTCCTCAAAAACAACAGCCCTCATCCTCCCCTTCCCCCTCCCCCTCTTCCCAGCTCTCGCAGCGCCCAGCTTCCCACGCCCAAACGACATCATCGCCTTCTTCCCCACTCCCACCTTCACCGTCTTCTTCCGAGTGACAACAGGAGAAGGAGGATCCCAAGCAACGGCCCACATCCCCTCACCAGTCCGGCACGAAAGAAAGTCTATAGGGTCGGGGGAGGACGAGCCGGGCGGAGAGAACGAGTCGTCTGCATATCCCATGTCCCCTTCCATTTCCACATCTGGAGTTTCGGTGAGCCTAGGCTCTTCTGCGATTGATGAATTTCCGTCGTTTTCTGGAATGGATAAGTTCCCTTGACGCTCTTCTTCGTTCTCATTTTCAGGATTTTCTGCAGAAATGATGGGCAGGTCAGGACCAGCTAAAATCGACCCACTCCTCACCCTCAAACGCGGTGCGAGGATGGTCCCACTCCGCGTCCTACTGGGAGCTGCGGAAGACCCTACCCTACCAGAAACAGCAGCAGCAGGCGCAACAATAGTCCCACTCCTCGTTCTACTCGTGGTGGGAGCAACAGAAGGCCTAGGACCAAGAACAGTCCCACTCCTCGTCCTCGCTGGTGGTGCACCAGAATCAAGAATACTCCCACTCCGCTGCGTCCTATTGAAGGAACGAATAGTTCCGCTTCTAGACCTGTTGAACTGTGGCAGTGCAGGCGTGGGATTAGGTTCGTCGGTTGAAGCATTCACGATGGTCTTATCCTGTTCTTGTGGGGAAATGGTGGTGGTGGTAGGTTCGATATCTGCAAATGTCGAATGAGACTTTGTTCGCCAAGAGACGATGACGAAAAACGTACCATCCGACTCCAAGTCTAAATCAAGGCTGTCGAATAAGGACTCCAATTTCTCTTTATCTTCTCTTCCTGCACGGTCTGAACCGGATTTCTCCAATTCCGAGTCGGGTGACGACGCATCATATGTCTTGCTACCTCCAGAAACGAAGGCGGGCCCTAGGAGGTTCTCTTTTGCCTCTCGAGCATGAAGGTAAACCGTGGGCGGCGAAATAATGCTATCAGTTACCCATGAGTAATCCCTCGTTGTCGTCTCGGGTTGAGGGAGAGAGTGAGCTTTCATCGTCGTTGCATCCGAGAGTGGCTGCGATTTTTTGGGAATACGAATAGGTACGGACGTTGATGAGAGTCTGGGGTTCGTTTTCGCGTTGACCGTTTCTTCCACTACATCGACATTTGTATCCGTGTTCACGGCAAGTGAAGGACAGACTTGGTCAGCATGGCCGTCAATCTTCCCAGCACCTAAATCGTCAGGAAGGGAAAGCATTCTTTTGAGTTTATGAGCAGGTGTCGATACACCCCACACATCCGTTCCAAAAAGATCGTTACAGGGTGCATCCCACGACCATCCAGAACTCCTCCTCCTCCGTTTTCCAAGGCCTACCTCCGGCTCGGCGCGAGTGTCATTCGTTTCCTCTTCCTCTTCGGAATCGTCCCCAAAAGCGCCGCCGTACAAGCTCAGTTGCGACGGAGGTCTATTGAAATCAACGATTCCCAGAGCGGAATAGGGTTTGAAGGAATCATCGAACGTGGATGGTTGTTGATGGGAAGCAACGGAGGGTCGACGGTGTTTGTTGTTTAAAGTCAAATTGGCGTTCTCGTCTCGAGATTTGCGAGTAGGAAACGGGGAGAAGGAGAAACCGGGTTGGTTGGGGGATGTATGCGTGCTTTGGGAGTAGTTTCGTCCTCTTCCTCGAGGGTATGGGATAGGGCTTGGGAGAGGAAGTGCAGAAGATTGGAGTTGCTGCTGAAGCTGGTGTTGTTTGGATACGGGGCTGGGAAGATTTGGATTGTAATGGGTGTCTGAGAGGGTACGTTTCTTTTTTGTAGATTCAGGAAGCGGAGGAGGGCCCATGTTTTTGGAAATGAGGGCCGGATCAAAGTCGGACGGTGATTGAGGCCGGGACGTGAATGGACTTGCTAGTGTTCGTGATTGCTTGGATTTTTTAGAAGAGGAGTGGTAGAGGGTCGTTGAAGAGGATATATGCGAGGATACAGTGTTCATGGTCTTTCGAAATCGTGATTTGCGACTATACGTTGAGGGCCTTGTCCTCGAAGCACTTCGGGAACGTGATCGAGATCCTGAGCTTGCGCTTCCCGGGGTGGTAGTTATCGGTTCCAGGTATTCACGCTCGTGTTCTTTGACATTCATATTTTCTTTAAGGTTTCTAGAGCTGGTGCGGTTGTTCCGAGCGAATTGAGAGTCGGGTAGATATGACTTTGCAAGAGGAATGGGGGAGAACTCCTGTTCTGGGACTGGCCTGGATGATTGGAGCTTGAATACCTGGGATTCGGTAAGTAGGGTTGGGTGGGGTGTTTGGAATGCCGCGTCTACGTCGGTGGGGCTCTGTGGGCGAAGATGAGCGGATATATGCGCGGAGCTTCAGTGAAAAATGTACCTTTGGCGTTGGCAAGGCTTTCTTTAACTTTTTGTATGGATCTGTGGTCAGCGCTGATTTGAGCGTCGACGAACGAGCGCGCTTGCGCATTGTGCTCGGCTCGTCGACGTCGTCTGTGCTCGACGTCCTGGCCCTGTTCTTGCGGGAGTTACAGTAGGTGACAAGCGCCATAGTGACGTCAGTATGTTAGTAATTTTGGTTGTTTTTGACGCGTTTTAGACCAAGCAAGTGCAAATTCAAGAACCACGTCGGCAGCCACCATCGCTGACACTAATATTTAACGGAGACCATGGTCGTCATCCGCAAACAGCCAGTGGCACCAGCACCGCCGGTATCAAGGACGTCTTCATCCCAACCTATACCCTCGAAAAGACCAACAACAAAGCAAACAAACGGCGTCAATGTCAGTTGTTCCATTCCACCTTTCATCTCACTAAATCCAACTCTCTTCGTAGCCTAAACCGAAGAAAGACATGTCAAAGCGACCATTGTCACCGTCATCGCGAAAAGCAGTAATAAAGGTATTGTGGCATCTCTCTCCTAAACCCCTAACTAACCCACTCAGAAACCTCCACATCGCTCGCTGATCGACAGGCTCTTTCTCTTTCTCCTCGCTTTCTTCGCCATCTACGCAGCGACAGTATGCCGCACCCATTCTCCCATAACCCCTGAGACAACACTAATCTGCCGCTCTCTATCAACCTACCGTACCGCCATCCTCGAACCATACGTTCTCCCCCCCTTAAAAGCCATCATCACCCATCCATCAGTCCAGCAATCCTACCAATCCCGCGTTCAGCCGTATCTCCACGCTGCCCAGCCCTACTTCTCCTCCGCCGTTAAAGCCGAGGCGCGTGTACGACCATATCTCGTTCGCGTGTACACTTTGTCACGAAGCGCAATTGAGAGAACGTGGAATGGCATCCTGAAACCGTATTACACAAAGGCGGTATTGCCCCGATATAGGCTCTACGTCCTTCCACACATCAAGAAAGTTATCCAACCAGCCGAGGCGTGGTATCGTGCCGTTGTTCACCCTTATCTCTCAAAGATACAAGGTTCATATGAGACAACGAAAGATGCCGTTCAGGAGCTGTACTTGACCTCCATCCAGCCTTATGCAGGAAAAGCATGCTCTACCACTCGCGCAGCCCTTTGCACCACATACAAGAAAGCACGTCCACATCTACTCACGGCGTACACGTATACTAGGAAAACAGGCTGCAGCGTATGGAAGAAATCCCGCCCTGTTCTATGTGCCACCTGGAAACAGGCTACACTTTACCTGAAATACGGCATGCATGAATTCGGCAACGCAAGGCGAACTTACGTGGATCCACACCTAAGGAGGATTTGGGAAAAGGTATCTCCCGAGTCTCAGGTCGTCCCTCCTACGACAGACGAAAGAATCACAAAGATAGAAGAGTACCCAGACACTATCGAGGCGGAAACAGCCGAATCTCTCGTCAAACCAACGCACTCCACCCCGTCTTCTATCTCATCGCCAGCACCCACGTTATCATCAGCACAAACCACCACAAAGTCAGCGTCCCAAGCAGCACCTGAGGAAACACCTTTGGACGAGGTCGCAAACGCACCTGTCCACGCTACACCCATCCCAGAAGCAGAAGCTGCCGTAAGCATCGCACAAGCTAGCGCTGGCAGCCCAGAACCCACTGGGCCTGCTGCAGAGCTTGAGAACGAGGTTACTCAAAGCGTGCTTGCGAGTGTTGCCAAGGATGAGATAACCGCCACTACCACTGAAGTCATAAGAGCACCCTTAGTTGAAGAGGCCTCGCCAGCAGAAGCAGAGGAAACACCTGTTGTTGCTCCGCCCATACCAGAAGACGAACCTGTGACATCCTCTCACGCACCAGAGAAAACAGCGAAGAACCACGACGACCTCCTCTCCGCGTCCTCTATAATCCACGCATCCGCACACGGCGTCCTACCCACCGTCGCTGCATTCGAGACCAAAAATGCAGCAGAAGAGGAGATTGACGATTTTTTAAGAGAGATTGGGATTCATGATGACAAAGAACGGGAGGAACCTATATCCGCACCGCAAGAACAAGAAGAGCCTGAACAACCTCACCAACCCACACCGGAAGACATCGCATCCCAAGTAGCCGCCAAACGCGCCTCCATCACCACTCGCCATGCGAAATGGCAGAACGAGCTCGATTTATTGGTATCGAATAAAGAGAACGATTTACGTACGGTTATCACACTCATCCGGAACGCCGCTGTCCTCGAACTACACTCCCTAAGCGGGGAAACGAAGCACGGGAAAAAAGGTATCTTAGGTGGAGTCCAGAACGAGGGTGAGCGGCTGGTGAAAGGCGTCGAGGCGTATTTACGTGGCGCCGAAAGCCGGAGTGGGGGGTGGATTTTGGTAGGGGAGGATGAAGGGAAGGACAAAGAGAGGAAGGGTGAGAAACAGTTGATTGCGCAGGGGGAGATGGTCAAGTTTAGTCAGGTTTTGGAGAGGGTTGAGGGACGGTTTGAGGAGGCTGTTAGGGGTGTACAGGGGGAAGTGCGTGAGTGGTATGTTAGTGTTAGGGATAAGGAGGTTAGGGAGGTGTGTTTTTCTTCTTTTCTTCTTTCCTTTCTGCCCTTTTTTTTGATGATTTTTCTCTTTTTCGAAAGGTCGTGGAAGCAGCAGCAGAAGTGAAATCGCTCGCTGATAAAGCACAGGCTGATATCGGACTGGACTATGCATGGCTTGACGACGTGACGTATGATGATTGGCAGAGATATCATGATCTTATGAGGAGTACGTTCCCTTTCTTTCCTTTCCTCTTGTACCTCATCCAACCAACTAACCACCTATCTCTGTCCATCCAGCATCCGACAAATTCGAACAAACAGCCCACCAAATCCAGAACAACACCCACCCAACAACACCTACACCCGACCCGCTCCTCCCCGTGCTGGACAAACTGCAAGAAGAGCTAGGGGACGTCGTGTTAGGCTTTCATGTCGCCCTGGGCGGACCAAAGGCCCGCGCTAGGGAGGTGTTTTCGGTATATAGGGATGATGATGATAAGAAGAAGGATGAAAGTGGGTTCTTTAGCGTTAAGCATGGGGAGAAGGAGGGGGAGGGGAGGAGGGTGGATGATATGAGGGGGGTTTTGAAGGAACAAGAGGAGGTGCGGATTTTGCCTATTGAGCCTTCACCACCACCGCCAGCAGACAAGGAAGAGGTGGTGGTAGATGTGGCTGATGTGCTTGTAGGGAAGAGCAAGGAGCAGGTTGAAAGGGATTTGAAGGATGTTCCGTTGGTTCAGGTACATGAGGAGTTATGAGCGTTGTACTGCATTTGTTCTCATTGGTCGTTATTTAAATAATGCACTTTCATTAGCTTACTCGAGTTCCTTTTCATGTAGTAGTCTACCATTCATGTTTCTTTCTCCTTTGGGTTCCCTACTGATATGTAGGAGGTACTATTTTGGGTTTTGGAGAAATCAATTTCGACTCAATCCAGCTGAGATCCATATCTCACATGTCCTCCTGAGATCATTACAAGTGGAGTGGGATTCTGGGGTCAGTGATATGAAATCTCCCTTCAGTTGTCGAGTTGTGAGGCTACAATGACCTCACTCAGGGCAAATATCTCTATCTGAGCTTGACGCAACGTACTTTAGATTCAGACAGGGCAAACTTGATAAGCAATAGAGGCTGGAGGGTCGACTAGGGTCGCGTGCAGAGGTTCAAAAACTTTTTATTCCCTCGAAATAATAGACGCTATCAACGCATCGCCAAAGTCTTCCTGTAGCAGGTCCTGGACGCCGCTTTCCTGGTCGACGGTCCACTCATACGCTTGCAACAAAAGAGTGTCCGTAAGCGGTAAGAAGTGCGATGCCAAAACACGAATTATGTTTGTCACCCTCGAAATAGCGGTCCGCGTTGACGCATCGATCTCCTGCGTGTTTTTCATAGCGTTAAGCCCACACCATTCTGATTCGAAGAAAACTGAAAAGTACAAATGAAAAGTTGACGTACATCATTTTGGTTGGAGTAGACAGCTTCAGCGTCAAAGCCCTCCTCACCCTCTTGTTCACTTTCTTTGACGTGTTTGCTGACCCATATGTACCCATTTAGCCCGAGGATAAGGTCCACGCCGCATGGGAGTGTTAAAAAATGGGACTTGAGACGCCTCACCAAGATCGGCGAGACTGTCACGAGCTGCCCGTTGCGAAGCTGTCGAGAGGTAAACCATCAGTCGACAGTTCGTGTGCATGCATCAATCTTATCAGATCAGTTCCGTACCTTGCCATATTTTAAAGATCGCGTATGAAGTGACATCGCGCCATCTGAGAAGAACGCTTGAACTTCGGCAACTAGTAGATCTCCTTCTTCGAAGAACGTTCGCATCTGAAGCTCATCACTTTCCAGTTTGCGGCGCTGAGAGAAAAAAAATGTCAGAAAATTCAATTGGTGTGACATGAAGGTACTGGTACCTGTACGCCGCCAGGCAGATTAATCGAGGATAGCATTAATACGGCATCCTGCCTGGAGTTGGCATCAACTTTCCACCTTCGAGGCTGTACCTAGCATGGTGTCGATTTCAGTTTTCCGTAGTCATAGTTTCAACCACCAATGGTTGCATACCTCCGTAATGCGCCCAACGACGAGATCTCCAACTTCTGGGTTATACCTTATGGTCAATAGTTAAGATATGAGCATGAAGGAAGAGGCACAAAACGTGCCTGCTGCTGATAGCTCGCACAGTGACAAGTTTATTGACGCGTTCGATCGTTCCTGCTACAGATGCGATAACCTCTTCGTTGTCGACATACGTTCCATGACCTCTATCTCACCTCCTTATCAGACGCGTAAAACAACGAGCGTAATTGAGGAGTCCACACCGCATATAGGCTTGTGAGGATGTGAGCAATTCGCCAGGGCACGTCAGTCTTGATCCGTCGGTTCCAAGCAGGTCGTCAGCGTCCAGATCCATCAGGTCGTCATCTTGAATCCCTGGGTGATGGCGCGTATAGCTGTAGTTGTCGTCGAGCTTTGCGGGGAACGAGGTGAAGGAGATCATGGTGAAGGTGCAGTTCAATGGCGCTTGAGCATCCGACTCGGGGTTAGGGTTGGAAATAATTGATCCGTTATGTTTTACCCCCGACCATCAAGGCTCCCCACCACCTCAAAAAATTGGGGAAAGAAATACCAACAGCGCTCATTTAACAACCTTAACATTAAGCACCGATGACAACGGGTTGGAGGCTGAGGTTTGTTAGAAATATTGCACAGCTGAGGCCCGAATCCCGATGATCTATCTCTCCGCCGCCTATGGACTAGTCTCTGTGCGACAATCCGCACCGTCTTGATGGGGCTGACCTGCTTGTCATCTGGTTTCCATGCAATAAGGAGAGATATCGGACAAACAAAAGGCTTTGATGAATTTCATTCTCCCCAGTCATTCCATTATGACTTGGAATGTACGTTGCCCATTTCACTACCAGCTTAACTGATTGCGCCAAATTCATTGACTCAAAATGATACGTGAATGATCATGGTAGAAGGTGGCCGTTGATGATCACGCAATTGTAGGCTGTACACTGTACGTATACGTACCTCACATAGATTTTTATTCAATCCGAAAACAGAGGTAGATCGAACGCCACGCCGTCTCTTGGCTCTTCAAAAGGCTTCAGGCTTCAAGAATTCAAACGATACTGACGAAAAAAATTAACAAGCATAGTCAACTGTATATTTTTCGAAATGACCGTCAAAGACAAAGCACTTTGAAACGCTTCAAGTCCAGACCTATGTCTACTTGGGTCCCGGCGACTCTTCAAGAAAAAAGTGTCATTACGATCGAGGCTTTCTCACACACGTGGCCGTGGCATCCCGGACAGAAATTCTCTGCCAGGAACGAGCAGGGTTCTCATCTTTTCTCAGGCTATGTATGATCACGAACTACGATCTTTATGATGCGCTCCTGCTATTTCGAGATAAGTAGCCTTGAAGATCCCTCGGGGAGGTCGTCAACGTTTCAAAACTCACATGACCACGACAAAGACAATAACGGGGCTTTGGGCGAGGCGCTCCGTAACGTCTCTAAAGATAAATACGTCTCAGACGCGTAAAGCATGCAATTGTTCTGGCTAATAAATAATTATAAGGGTTTGTGATGATGTTATGCGGAAGCGTGAAGGAGCTAGAAGGTTATGCTACAGTCAAATCGAATACAAGAGAGTGGTGAGTGGGTGATGATGATAAATGCTGGGTTTGAAGTCTACTGATGACATGCGCGTGCAGGACGCGATGCAACAAATCAGAATTTCTAAGAAAACCCTGCCATGAGTGATGCAAGGAAAAATTTTGACCAAACGGAACTTACAAGTCTCTAAGATGACTTTCCGTAAGCGAGGAAGTAAGCAGACAGCGCAGGAAGGTCGTTTGATCCCGCATCAGAATATCCTTGTCTCCGAGAACCGTTGAATTTTAATACGATGACAGTCCCAGACCAAGATTTTGGAGCAGCGCCAGAAGTGATGTGGTAGATTGAGCGGTTAAGAGGGGCTCCCTTGGCCAATGCGGTCGTGTTGTACCAGAGATGAAGCGGGAATCGCAAAGGCTCGCCGTTTAATCCTTGTGTAAGCACGATAGATTCCGCTTGGTTGTCGGGGAAGTGTGACTGAACCATGGGTACCGGGCACATTCCTTGGGAAGGTTTGTGTGATGGTCGGCAACTGATAGAAATGATGCGCGGACGTTCTGCAACATTCCAATACATTTGTCAGTCACGAGAGCAACCCATTCAGTTGTAAATGCCAACCTTCTTCCGGCGAAAAGAGTATCGCAGACACTGTTATGTACTGAGGTTCGGCTGGTGGAGGTGTCGCGATCATATTGACCGTATAACCATTTGTCGCGGGGTGTTCGGTCGCTGGTATACATTCCTTGCGATGTCTAGCCCAGTCCTGTGCACGTGCATGGTGAGCGGCCTTGTCAGGACAATCGAGCGTAAACGTACATTCTGGAGATGTTCAGGCGAACAGTACCAGGCGCCTTGGCAGCGACTGCACCACATTGACGTTGGTCGGCAGCAGAGCGTACAAGGGTGGTTAATGAGTGGCATATTGTGCATGACGGGGGTGGACAAGGCGAGTGGAAAGAACTTCTGGGACAAGCAAAAAAAAGTGGGAGTTGATAAAGTTGAAGTTCGAATTCCGAGCGTCCTTTAATACCTTGAAGGTCGTATTTCGGTCCGTATGTATTTGTGTGTGAATCGTCTGTGGCTCAATGAGTTTCAAAGTCCCTATTTTTTCGCAATCCCAAGTAGGAAACACACCAATCGCGATCCAGGGTTGTGTGGTATTCAAATAACGTTACAGGCACGCGATGACGGAGGAAAGTCATGGCCGTGGACTCGCCAAATTGGACAATGAGAATCGGGATCAAAGAATAGAACACCAAGTTGACACCAAGTCATTTTGAGGTGGATTTTGAGCAATATTATTCACAATAAATACAAGCTGCTGAGTAGGCCGTGACACATGGCGCTGGCTGGATAATTGTCCTCCTCAAATTTGTTGGTACAGCGAGGCCGTAAGTGTGAGTCCACATCAACGGAGCAACGCGACCGACTAGTTCCCAGGTGACAGTTTTATTTTTTAATTATTATTACAGTTATCTCGAGGACCCCGGAATGGCGGCCGGCCGGTATTGGTTGGCCAATTTCGATGTGACAAAGGTCACGCTCGCTCGCTCTAACCAAGATGTCTGACGATGAAATGAATATTGACGATAGTACGCTTTATTCACGTCTTTTTGAACTTCAAAACAGAAGTAGCTGATAAGTGTTTAAGTGGCCGCGGGAGGTGGTGCCGTTAGAAGGAGAGGTAGAGGCTTCCAGAACACAGGCAAGTTCATCGCAGCCTCACCGGACAGTATTTGATCAACTACTTTATTCCAGGAGGCAATGAGGGCACGGTGACCACAGAGCCAACTTATGACAGGGTGGAAGCGATCCACGCCAAGGATTTAGACACAAGAGCGGCACGCTGTGAGTCGCGCGTTGTGGAATGTTGGGTTCTCGTTAAACCTTGCTATTTTTGCCGTTTTTGTAGCCGTCGAGGGCTGGATCGTCCTTGTAACCAACGTTCATGAAGAGGCGACGGAGGAGGACGTCACGGACAAGTTTGCAGAGTTTGGGGAGATAAAAAACCTTCACCTCAACCTTGATCGAAGAACGGGTTATGTCAAGGTTCGCGCTTCGTCATTGCGCCCTGACATCTATGCTCAAGCTAATGACTCGATTCATAGGGCTATGCTCTCGTGGAGTACGAGACCATGGCAGAGGCTCAAGCAGCTATCGATGGGGCTGCGGGGACGCCTCTGCTGGAACAAGCTATACAATGTGATTACGCCTTTGTTCGCCCACCACCTTCGGGTCCGAAGAAGGGTAGAGGACCGCGGGGACGGAGTGCCAGCCCAAGTAGGCGGAGGTGATAGATGGTTAGAGACGTTAATACCTCACTTGTAAAAAATCATGTAGTGGTGTTGCTACTAGTATGCATTGTTGGTATGAGTGCAACCATTCCCTTCGTTTTAATTTCGGTTCAAACACGAAAAGAGAGTACGAAGCAATCCTTGGTACAGTGAAAGTAAGAAATAATTGTTTTTTACCGCTTCAGCTGCGGTGTCGACGAAAGTCGACGACTCGACACAGTCTTGCATTGAAATTCAATTAGTGTTCAATTTCGTTTATGCAATTTGTTCACACGTTGCTTGCTTGTCACCAGTCAACAACCACCTCTGCCCACCCCACCTTCTTTACTTGCGCAAATCTACCCTTTCTCTCCGCTTACGAGAAATGGCAAAAGCTTCAGAGGTTTCTGACAGCGAAGAATCAAAACCCGCGGCGACATCGATAAAACAGACATCGCCCAACAAGGTCAAAGAAGCGTCGGTCGAGGTTGAGTCTGAGGCCGAAAATGGCGAAGACAGCGAGGTAGAGGAGTACGAAATTGAGGAAATTAGGGACGCCAAACGTGGCTACTTTCCTGGTGTAAGTTACTTTCTGCATAGAGGCGCGTATAGGCTTACGACGCGTTTTTTCGCGCGTTAGGGTCGAATAGGCTACTTGGTGAAATGGAAAGGCTACGCAGAATCGGAAAATAGCTGGGTCGACGAAGCAGACGCAGAGTGGGCGTCTCTCTCCCTCTTCTAAATATTTTACTTATTTGAACCCATTTTAGGAATGCAGGTGATCTTGTCAAGGAGTTTTGGCAGAGACGCGAGAGGGTCAAGGGCCCACGTAAGGGTGGCGACGATAAAACGAAATCCCCAAAACGATCTCGGAAGTCTGTGGCCGCCGAGGATGGCTCTGACGCTGCTGCTGCCACAACCACCGCACCGAAGAAGCGGGGCCGTAAATCTGTCACCAAAGAAGACTCCGATGTAGACATGGATAAGGACAAGCCCGAATCCGCATCAGCTAGAGTAACAAAGAAGGCCAGGAAGACCATCACTGAAAAATCAGCCGACAAGCCGAACCGAAAAGCACAAGCGACGGCGAGTACACGGACAGCCTCGCCAATTCCCGTTGACGGTGATGAAGTTGCGGTGACCATGGCTAAATACATGAATCAAGACAGCTGGGAAGACCTAGTTACCAGTGTTGATACTGTCGAGCGCGTTGGGCAAGAACTGTATATATATTTTTCCTTGTAAGTTTGATCTGCTGTTCGATGCATGCTTTTCACTGACCTCAGATTCTTGTTGCGACAGGAGCACTGGTGAGCATGTTAGGGAAGTGTCCACACTCTGCAAAAAACGTTTTCCCCAGAAGGTATGTCTTCAATTCTAAATGTACCCGTCACATATCTTACCGATTCTCACATCTAGCTCCTTGACTTTTACGAGGGCAATCTCCGCTGGCGAACGGCTGAAGATGCTTGAGAATCTATTTCTTTCTTACAATCCAATTACATATCATTTTGCCATTCTACATTTGAGTTCTTTCCATCTAACCTGAGTAGGTCCTTTGTAATCAAGGGAGACTTCGGTGCGATTTTTGATGTGTTGTTGATGCTTTCTGCTACATAGCCATTGATTCTCTGTTGCATCCTTCCGAAATCCTTCCTATTTTTTTAGACGTGATTTGATATACACGGTCAATCACCTCCGATGTGATGGCAGAGTAAGCGCCCCGAAAACTCAGGTACAGTTGTAAAGGGGCACAGTCTCGGGACCCGTCTTCAATGAAAAGCAATTGAGTAGGGTATGCTTGAGCCAGCTACCACGTGTCAGCAGGACGATCATCGGTCACCAAAACAATTTGAAAAACGGAGCGAATCGATGGTACCAAGCCTGCCCACCCCGACGCGACGGAGCGCGGTTATTCCAAGGTTATTCTGGGGTCTGGTCAGTTTTGAGTTTTCTCATCACGAACTGCCTGCTTCCTGCTCCTTATGAGCATCTGCGGAGGGAATGGAAGGCGATCCGACAGTACGTACCTTGGCTTGTAACTCGAGACAGATGAAGTTTGACTCTACTAACTATCTCACAACGGACAAGATGTTCCATTAGCTACGAGCAACAAAGTACAAGTTACATCACCGGGTCCAGCTGTCCAGGTGTCCCAAAATGTCTCCCAGGGAAGGTGATGCCGCGGAGTCTCGCTCGCGTGGGCAACGTGGACACATTTGAATAAGAAAGCAGGGGGGACGGGAGGGGATGGGTGACTTGCTCACGTGGAAACGTGTGTAACATTCCTCGACGAGTCGCCAGTCTGACATCGCACGAAAGTATCTTGGGCAGGGCTGATGCACCCCTGGTCAGTCACGCCGACGTCACTTTCTTGATTTCCATACACATAAGATGGGATTGTCTAGATCGACATGTGAGTGTATGTATACCACGTCAACGGACGCCGCTTTGGAGGCGCGGCCAACTTGACGACCCCACAGTAGAGTTACCTAGGAGGGAGCTCTTCTTACGGAGCTGTATGTCCACTCGCATAGGCTAACGTCTCTGCGATGATATCGGATCGCCTGATGTTTTTCTGTGAGGGGAGATGAAACATTGAAATGGTGGCCAGTGCGTTTCCAAGCATCGAATCGTTTTCGAGGCACCCAAAGCCCTTGATTGCGTTGCGAGTCCAATTTGATGACGGATATCAATAGAGCTGGAGAACGTTGAAACCCCAGGTTAGATAAGAGATAGGAGAGAGCTTTGAATAGATTCTCAGATATGGCGATGGCTGGCTGAGTGAATCCGCACACCTGATCAGACCGGGGGATTGGCCAAAGGACCCAAATAAGGTCACCAGAAAAGGTCTGTTTACACGTTGCGGGACACTTACTTTGGTCGCTTCCACAATCCACGAATGTTGGCGTATTTGCGTCGCAAAAGAGAGAAAAGGACGCGAAGTCCAGTTGCATACGTTCAGTACATCGGAACGACGCTACGCAACACGATACTTGCCCTGTGTTTCTGAGGTTGGAAAAAGATGCCTGTTACAGCTTGTCAATGATAGCCCCACGAGGGGTGGCATGAATACGTAAAAACAACCCGGCGCCATTCAACAAGGCTTGAGAAAGAAACATGACTGAGTCAAGTAAGTCGAAGCCGGGGGGAGAGACTAGGGCCCCGTGGGTGTACTTGACATATACCACCGGTAAAAAGCCTCCAAACCGAAATTTTCGGCCCGAGAATGAGAGTTTTGGCGGTCGGTGGTACCCTCCACCAGTCAAATTTGTATCGTTCAAAGCGGGTTGAGTGACCAGGCCGTTGATAAACTCCAACTTCTGAAAAATTCAGATATTACAGGGAACTCGGTCACCTGTGCTTAGGATAGACAGAAGGGTATTAATCTTTGTTCAATCATTCTCCGTCACTTTCTTCTTCTTCCTCGTCTTCGTCTTCTTCTTCGTCCTCGTCGTGATTATTCTCATCGTTATCCTCGTCTTCCTCCTCGTCTTCCTCAATAGTTTGGTCCTGGGGCATAGGGGGATGTTGATGCTGTTGTTGGGGTTGTGGATTATGAGTTGAGGCACCGCTAGCCATTTTCCTCGCTTGCATAGCCCTTTTGGTTTCTTCTTTTTCTTCATCGACTGGCAGAAGTTCATCCAACGCTAGATCCCTCCAGCGTAACGCGCCATTTATCCCACCTCCCGCATAACCCATATCTTCAAAGAGGGCACGGGAGGATGGGTCGTACGGCGGGCGTGGTCTTGCAGATGGATGTTTTATATTGGTCGGGTTACCGTAAGGGTATGAGGGGTGTACCTGGGAGGGTAAAACTATCCAGGCAACCACATTAAGAATGGGCTGGAAATTGCAAGTCATCCTAACATACTGTCAGAATCGTCTGGGTTCGGTGGCACCATATGGGGAGGGATATCCAACTCTGGAAGCAGTCAATTTAGGTGATTCAACAGACTAACTGATGAACCAACCATCATCCGACAACTCCCCTTTCATGTAATCTGTCGTCTCAATAGTGTCCAGAACTTGAAGATCATGACGTGTCATATGCAAATGACAAAACGTTAGATCCTGAATATAAATTGATGAGTGGCATCGCAATATCTCAATAGCCTGCTAACTGTCATATTCCTGGAGATTCTTGGACAAGGCGTTCAAGGTTGTGGTTTGAATGGCAAAGTGAGGCGGGATAAACAAGATGCAATACCGGCTCAACGTCGAATCAAGCTCAATCTTGGCTCAATCAACGTCAAGTCAACGTCTGCAATCTATAGTTCATGGCCAGCTTTCCGCGGAGCTTCAAACACCGCGACAACCTTTCAAATATCACTATTCGTAAAGGCCTCTTCGACCATTGAGTCCTCTCATCAATCCTCGCCGTTCAGAGAATTATCCTGCATCACCTTAAATCAATTTTGTGATACCGACCTGCAAGTCGAGGTATTTACATCCACTATTCCCGACTTTTCTCAGAAAATGTACTTAGTATGGTAGTTTGCCTACTGAGTGGCGTTTTTTCTAGAAGTCTCCGGTATCCCCAACGGCGCTGGCATTCGAGTTGAGCCACAGCCGCTATACCCTGCTGGTTTCTTCTGAAGCCATGTCCTTATCTCATAGGTCCTGATGGTCTTTCATGCGGACCACGCGACATTAGGATTGGCTCACACAAACATAAAAATCCCTGGACATGCCTCGTTCTCTTCTGCGGGATCATGCTTACAATGGACAGCTGATGGTCAACTACTGGTTGTCACCAAAGATGCTATTCACATCCTTGTAAAATTTCGGTTTGGCCAGGTTTGAATGTTGGTTACTGAAGAGTGTGCAGACTCCAGAGAATGCACATGACACCAGTCATCCTCATCTGAAATTGGCTGATAAATCGATTGCTTGGGCGCAGACGATCATCGAATTCGACCAAATCAATATCCGAAAGTGGCCCGACCGTTCTCAAGGTCAGTGGCCACCGTGTCACCCTTTGTCATAAAAACTGTATTTGATCTTAAAGCAACCGATTTAGAATGGGGAGCGGCGGCTCTCGGATCTCTGGACACAGGCCTACGAGCGGTCGCGCGTTCGCCGAGCAAACTAATGGCAGGTAGTGGAGGGTGAGTCCCGACGGATTGGTCTACTTTTGATGCTTTTGTGACAGGTTTTATTTGTGGAAAAGATGTGTGGTAGCCGTTCTCAGCTCCAACTTCGATTTATCTCTCTGGGCTTCTTCGAAGAACAGATATAAAGGGCGATGGAACAAGGTAGACAAAACTCGACCAAATCTAATGTGTTAGGCACCTGATTTTCTTCTCCAAGATTCAAGATGTGACGTCTTGGTTGGAGCTCCAGCTTTCTGCACGTTCTAGCCAATCCCGATCTGAAGAAACGATACAGGCACAAGTGACATGTAAGTTTTTATGGATCTGTAGATGCCATCGCCTATGACGCGTTTCCAAGGCATCGATTGGTCGACTCAAGCGGATTTTAATGTCGCACCTGCTCCTTCTTTGGATGGTTCTTTTCTCGTCGTCGGGACCCGTGGGGGACTTCTAATTTTTTTGAGGCATAGCCTTTTCTTTCACAACAATGATCGACTAACACTTACCCAGGGTTATTGGAGAGAAAGATATGGGCTGGTTGGGCTCTGTGCAAGTTTCCCAGTCATCTTTAACGCACGTTGCTTTTTCTTCCTGGGAACTAGCTGAAGAACGAAAATGTGAGGGTTTTCGATCTACCCAATGATGGAATCGTGGTTCTGACGCTTGAGATTGCTGTCAAGGCGAAATCCAACTAGCTTATGGCACCGCCGATGGCGAGGTTGGTGTTGTGACCATAACACAAGCGCTCGAAGCAATCCCCACTGTTTCTATTTTCGGTCCGACATATAACCTTACGGCGAGTTTTGGAAACCAGACTGAAACAGTCACTGGTGCAGATAAGCGGGGACTCACAACCTTGGCCTGGATTCGCGCCGATAAAAACGTAAAGTATGTCTACCTCGAAATACTTTCATAATTTCATAATCCAACTTAGGTTATTATCGTGTATGGAAAGCCCGGGCTTGTCCATCTGTGGTCTTCTAAATCTTCTCCGGGATGGTCCGGTTACCGTTCATTTCGTTTGCAAACACAAAACACGTCGTCGGGGAGCTCTTGTTTCCATCCGATTTCTGGGCTGCACTATGTGAATAAAGAGGACGTCCTTTTGATCGCACTTCATGACGGATCTATCCACACCATTCAGACGGTTTCTAGCGACCCTTGCTGGCCAGCTCTTGCTAGTGACTTTCACAGTTCAAAGCTTTCAGTACTCTGTCGTTCTATATTTGAGCGAACCGAGCTCGAAAAACCCACTGTGGCCGACAGAAATTCCATTTTTGGGTTCACGTCATTCGATGAGCATGGGGATTTTACTTGGATTCAAGAGTAATTGAAAATCTTCTACACTAGGAGAATCCGCTGGCTAATTCGACTGTAAAAGATCTTGCCAACCTGGTGATCTCAGTTACAAATACAGCACTAGGCGTCAAACGAGCCTAATAGCAGCTAGCTTTTGGAAATACCCCGAAATTCATGGTCTAGAGGATGAGCTCCGCCAGGTCTTGACCACATCGAGAGCGGGTACGTTTGCGGTCTCCAAATCGTCTTTATTTGGAAACTAAAAGAATTACAACTCAGCGACAGGGTATAGCCCTGTTCATCTGCTTCGCCCCTTCTTTACACGTCTTCCCCATTGCCCTGAACTGCAGTCAAGGGTTCCGGCCTTATTGGACTCCACTCCTGAATCCCTTCAGGGGTTGACAGGTGCTTTGCCGACGGCCAAAGCCACATGCCATGATCCGTTGGACTTTCCTTCTCTCGAGCGAAATTTCCGCGAAAGCTTGACGAATCAATTATTCGGCCATGATATCCTCTTGCGGCTTCGGATAAAACTCTACACCGCAGAATTTCTAGGGGTACGCGCAATGGTCACCTTCGTTTAGAAAAAAGCATAACAGTTTTTGGTACCGTTTCCAGAAAATAACAGCAAATGCTCAGATACGCGCTGAATGTGACCACGCAGTGTCAAAACTACTTTTTGACATTTCCAAGATAACACTACAAATACTGGTCCGGCATCTCAATCTGGTCTTCGCGGTGTTGAAGGGTAGGTTGTAAAAGCCTACAATAAAAACCCAATTGAATTATTTGCTCATCTCGTTTTAGCTGAAGATCTAGCCTTCGCGTCCCGCGTTGCTGAACAGGCTTCTCTTCCTGGTCGTTTTCCAGAACTTGTTGAGGAGGTCCAGCAATTGTCAGACGCCATAAATAACTTCAAGTGTTCGTTAGACCAGGAGCATGTTGATAAGGTTCAAGAGTTGTGCCCTGCTTGCTGCTCCGAGGTGCTAATGGGTAGCGCAACGACCAATGGAACATGTGCGAATGGTCATCAGTGGGGTAAGCTCATGCAGCTCTGGTCCTTGCATGCAGAGGCTCATCTAAACGGACCTGATTTGCCAGGTCGTTGCTCCATTACTTCGTTCCTACTATCTACTCCTCATCTGAGAACATGCGTAGGCTGTTCTCGCAAGGCCCTTTTGCCTGCTGCAAGTTCACCGGCCAACGTTATACAACCTGAACAAGCCCGCAGCTGGGTTGTCCAAGCATTCTTGGAAGCATCGACTTGGTGCCTACTTTGTGGCAACAACTTTGCGTGTGTCTATTAGTGTCTTATTTTCTCGAATCTTACATCTTTATTTCTGTCTTTATTGTTGATTGAACATCCATCGCGAACTTTGTACAAACGTCATACTCATATTGTACATAACCATTGCATACATTCAAATTATCGAAGTGATTCACGTTGAACGAACTGTAAACTTCAAGCACTCGTTTTCTATTGAAAATTCCGCGAACCCGTTGGTCTCTCTCTTCGGTGTCTACACCATAGTTTGCAATTTCCCGAAGTCTGGAGTACCGAGTCCGGTGACCTGTGAGAAGATAAGCCAATGATCTACCCAAGCCAAGAAAAGGGCTTACAGGATCCCAGCCCTTGACAGCAGTAAATCCTATTTTATTATGTTAAAACGACACTTACGAGGATGTGATTAAAGTCAACGCACCAGCGGTTCCACAACCTGGATTGGAGCCGGAAGTGATATCGTTGAACCCTTTTGCGGCGGTCGAGTAGATGAGGGGGTTGATGAACCCCAAAGAAGTTTTACCCTTGGATAAACGGAAGTCGTTCAGAAGGGAGAACACCCCCGCGACCGTCTGATAACGCTCATAGTTAGTCTATTTGATAAGATTGTGCGCCACAGAGATACACACGGGGGAGCTGGCGCTGGTCCCTCCAACGGAGGTGGTTCGGCCACTAACGACTACCTGGAACCCACTTCCTTGGGCTGCAAGGTCTGGGTACGCGCGTCCGGTTTGGCTGAGGGAACGACACGTTAGTCAGTCGCGAAAAATGTGCACTTCGCACTGGTTTAAACTCACTTGAACATTCCAGTAAACTTGATACCAAGCCCTGACAAGAAAGCTGACACAGCTGGGGTTTGGTAGCTCGGCTGAGTGAAGTATTGGGAGAAACCACCACCGGAAAAGCTAACAGCAACCTCGGGGTTAACCTTAGTAGTGCCACCTACAGCGGTCACAAATGGACATCTGAGAAGAACAACCGAGTTGATATGTAGGGCCAATAAAAAGAAGAAACCTACGAAGCTGGGAAGGCGGGCTGGAAAAGAACTCGGTTCTTCCCATCGTTTGTCTTACAGTCACCACCGCCAACACTTCAACGGGTCGTAAGATACGTCAGGAAGTTGGAGAAACCTCACTCACCCAAAATCACCACTGGAGAAGAAAACTGTAGTCCCAAGCGAGCCGAGTTGAGCAAACATATTGCAGACTTTGACGGCGTAATCTTTTGGAACCTGATCGAGTGACATTATGAGTGAAACCAATCTCCAGCCAAAACTCGAGACGACACACCGTTTGCTCGTCGTCACCGTAGGATGTCGTGATGACTTGTGGAATGGTTTTCTGTGCCAGAATGAAGTTGAGCCAGTCGAGATAAGGCTCATTAGTGTTCGTTGGGGTCTGCGAATCGGGGTTGAAAGGAGGAGATCCACCAGTGCTGGCAAGAAAGAAATATATATCAGGTCCTTGCTTATTTGATGAAATCGCTCCAGCATGTACCCACCTATAGTAAATGTTCGGCGTAGGGAAAGACATTCCTATAGTGTACTGAATATCGAGATTGGCCTAGAATGTCGGTTATGAAACAGTAAAAATGATATTGATCAACGACTCTACCTCGACACCAGGCGAGTTTTGATCGTTTCCTCCACCGTTAACTTGCTCAATGGAGAAGCTCGAGCCTTTCGCTTCAGGCCGGAATTTAGAGAAGAAGGTCTATCCCAAATTAATGAGAACAACAGGAATCCTTTTATAGCCAAAAACCTACCTGAAGATCCGAAGTCGACGCAAACTCTCCAAGGTAACCCGCAACGCCAAGCTTGTTGACGTTGGTAGCAGCGGGTATGTAGGTGGAAGTATTGTATAAGTCTCTCAGGCAAGTCGGGGTTATCGTGGACGAGCAACTAGAAGGCACGACAGCGTTCACAGCGTTTGAAACAGGTATAATGTCAGGTTGCAAGAAGCTGGTCGCCCGCATGCTGTGGATAGTTCCAAAATATGTCGTGGGTGCGACGACGTCGATGTGAGAATGAAGTTCGCGAGGCAAGGAATAACCCATGGTTCGGACGACGCGCTGACCTGAAGCAGGGTGATGGTAGACGTTGTACTTGGTTCCAAGCATTCGTTCGGCCTGAGCTACTGAGACGCGGACTGTGACCCAATCGCCACCTCCACTGACGTGCGCAACCTTAGATTTTTCGATGGCGTGGTGCTCGAGCCAGGAACTTACAGCCTCCGTAGAATCCGGGTGAGGTTTCGCAAAGGCTTCTACTTCTTCCTTTGTCAAGTGCTGGGCATACCTAGAAATCGTCAGTCATTTTCGCCAACAACGACAGAAAGGAGAAATTACCTTCCATGACCAGGGTCACTGATTTCCATCAAGTTTGCAATGAGGTCCTCCATGCCAGCTTGCTTGACACCAATGCGTAAGTCGAAGACATAATTCGCGGGTGCAGGTGAATCAAAATCCCATCCTTTAGGAATGTCAGCCCAGGAATGTTTATCAGCAAGGTCGTCCCAGCGTCTGACAAGGGGTTTGGAGAGACAGAGGTGTAGGAGACTGAGGACGACGGTTGACGACCACAACATTCTGAGGGTTGGGTAGGAGGCCTGACGAAGAGACAAGTTTCGAAAGGGTTATTTGACGACTATTTCTGGGGTGCCGATCAGAGTGGTATAGCTTAGTGTATCTCATCCTCGTTCCGCATTGATGGATGGAAGGCGATTCTACCCTCGCCTTTTTCGCCTCCCGAGGATCAGCATTACACATGGAAGTCCCATTTCCAGTAGCAGGTGAAGGAAATGAAGATGCAGATGCTCGTGGCACAGAGCTATCAGCATTCACTGGCAACTGGCATCGAAACTCTTCTAACCACCTGCCCCCCTGCGCGTCATCAAACAACCATACATGACTAGATGACCAAACCAAACCAAGGTCAGTAAAGATGGCGCACAACCTAAACAACTCGCCTGTCTCCAACTCTCTCTGGGGGCTTCGACACCTGTAGATCAGACCTTGTCCGTCGTTTGAGGTTGTTACCACCTCTGGGCGAAGGCAGCCGCGTCAAGTTAGGGTTTGAATTGGAGTGTGGTGTTGGCGGGGGTAAAGTCCAAGCCAGCTCAGCGCATAGGTATTCTACGATCTCGTCCGCATATCCTAAAAGGACGATCTTCCAAACCAAGTAGAATGAAGTTTAGTTGTGATGAGAAGGCGAGACACTAGTGTCGGAGCTTACATCTGGGTTAATGTGGCGGATTGGGGTTTTGTTGATGAGGATCTAAGTCGGGAAAGGGGGATGTTGATGGTCAGTCCGCTAACACGTCATAGATAAGCTTACTTGGGGTATTGAATGGGGCAGATGTGCTTTGTGAGAGTTAGCAGTCGGGCTTGGCAAGGAAGCCAGATGAGAGAAGCGTACGTACAAAGAATGTCGACAACCGGGGACACCTTGAGCGATGTGCCAATGACCAAGAGGAGGTCTACTTAATCACGATCTTCAGCTAGATAGCGGTCGAATTCGTCTGTGAGTTTCTCGCCAAAAAATGTTATATCAGGCTTTTAGGACAACATCAGACGACTTGACGGAGAAAGCTGAAACTTGAGTACCTTCATAATGCCAGGAGGAAAGTCTGGACCATCACTCTCATCCTCGACATCGCTGTCCCATTCATTCACTTTCTTTTTTTTTCTTCTTGCCCCGGACTTTTTTTGCCGAGGATGACGGAGCGTTACAAACGGTACAGAGGGGAACTGTCCGTCTGAGAATATCCGCCTCGATCTCGAGCCCAGGTACGCGCCGGCGACAAAGAAGACAGCTAGCGGTGGCAAAGGATCCATGGCACTGCAGAACGCGTTGGACTCCTGCCAGTGTTTCAAGTGTGTCTATGTTTTGGGTATAATTCTGCAATGGTGAAAACGGCATGGTAAACATCAAAAACGAGGTAACGTAAAAAGCATTAGTACCCAGAGCAACTGTTATCATTATCTTCAATGTCAATGATGTTCTTTTGCAGTCATTGGCGAGTTTGCACACCTTTCCTTGATCTTCGATGAGCTTGATAAAGCGGTGGCATGGAGATGGCACAAAGTTGGCGGGATAGATCTGGCCACGGATATGTCAAAGATGGAAGGAGCTTGAATGGTGCAAATCTAGAAACCTGGCGAACGAGCTTTGAGAAACAAATTTGATTAGTTGACTTGCTTTCTTTACTTTCGAGACGATCTTAGAAAACTAGTAGATATCAGCGTTGGAGCCGCCAGAATGTTTTGCAAAATGAATACCGGATGGAGGCTCTCGGAAATAGTTGATGTCAAACCTATTTTGATGTAACAACAAGGTGACTATAGAGTCGACAAAAAGGCCATCCATACTCACATTTGTTGTGGATCGTCTAAATCATATTCACCTTTATCCTTTAGAGACACGTAAAGACCGTTTCGAGATCGAAAGTCAGGTATGCCACACGAGACGCCTTGTGAGCAGTTTGATAAGACAGGAGAAACGAGCTGATGGGGATGATGCAAGGAGATGCTTACTGATTCCAGCCCCTGTGAGAATAACGATCCGCTGGGATTGGCGGATTAGTTGGATGGCTCAGCTATCGTGTTGTATTGAAGCAGTTTGTCACGCATTCGAAGCCTAAACCCATCATGGTCAGAGAGAGACCTCTGAGGCTGAGAAAAGCGGCGAGACGATTTACTGGTTGGACATGGCAACCTGTAAAAAGTACATCATGGTGGCGGGTTGTTTCTTTTGGAGCTCAGGACACTGGTTGTATGGATGAAAATATGGTATTTTCTGAAGGACAAGGACTCACCAGGCCAATACCAAAGGCGAGAAGGAGCCTGTAAATAGGTACGTTACGCCTATGAACGTATTCCATTGTGAACGAGTGTATGCCTGGTGAGACCTCATTATTTGAATGCAAACCTGGCTGGGCAACATTAACACCCACCGCGTTCCTTGAGGTGGTGCAGAATTTGTTTTATCTCTCGCTTCGTCCACAAATTTTCAGCTATAAATAAATTTTGTCAACAAACCACCTCTGGCAAAGATAACAAGTAAAGTCGAGACACACCTTGTTGAGCAACATCAAACAAGGCAGACATATCCACTTGCACACTTTCTATTTCGCCATTCTCAGCCTCTTCATCTCCTTCATCACCAGATTCAACTCCTTCCGGGGCGCGAAAGGCCTCTGGATCGTCATCTTGAGATGGAATGGTACTAATCAAATCATCAGCCACCTCTCGCGGCATGTCAACATCTTCTGATGCGTCAATAAACGCCTGAACCTGTAGTGCGAGGATATCATTGGCAGATAGCCGGCACATCGCGGGGCCACCGGCGTGCGAGTGTTGTTGCTTCTCCAAAAGTCCATTATTTAGCGCGTTTATTGCTGACGCTGAAGGACCGGCAGAATTGGAAGCGCGAAATGCCATTGGTTGTCGTGGCTAGACCGACTGCCAAGCATAGATACCCTCAAAAAAATTTGGTGAAAGGTGCGCCAAGACAAGAGTAGGTTGAGGTAGCTGGAAGTTGTGGCAGCTCCTTTTCCTTTTACCACGGTTCGAACGTTCGAAATATAGATTCAAACTCGACTCGATCAGTTGATTAGGTGACTGCGCCGACCATCGACCTATCGCTTATTTATCCTCGCGGCTACGAACAAGGAAACTAGAACAATGCTTCGTTCGTCTTGTCCTTTTCACTCGCATCAGCAGACATCTCAGGATATTTCAGGGCAGACATTCCACTTTGACCACCATTCAACACTGGACCCACTCACATCTTCCACATATGTTTTAGACTGCATAAGTCCTCCAATTCGTTTTCTAGAAGCAAGAGCCTTCCTCTTCAAGCAAAGCCGCGCAACACGAGGCGGGCCTTTGCAAATTACATGATTTCGGCCTTGTAAAAGGGAGCCTGAGACCCATCACCATCGTAGATCATTGACCACACTAGATTGACACGACCTCGTTGCACGGACACCCACAAATCAGGTCCCTCCTGAATTGCGAATTTAGCATTGAGTTTGTGTATATAAGCAGCTACCCCCGAGCCACTATGGAAGGATTCCCTCAGCGCCGTTCGTATCCTGGACTTCCAATGACCAAAACAACCTCCTTCGAATCGTATAATGCGAAAACAACAAGCATCAGCGTAAGGTCCATCAATAAGTCCTTTTCTGCTGACTAACCGCGATATATACAGTATCCGTGGCCAGCCGACGTCACTGGTATTGAGCGTATCGCGCTCTCCGCCCAAGGCGATCTTCAGCGTGTTTTGAGGTACGTAGCATGGCGCAGTGTTCGCCGTCGCTAAACATTCACACGTTTTACAGCGCGTTCTTCGCCCGTCCAATAGTTATCGCTCTGGTCTACTCCCAGACCTTGCATCAAACTTCCCCAGCATCAGCCCTTGTGCCTTTAACACTACCCAACCCCACTATCATCGCGTCCGCGTCCCCAGAAACACCTATAGTTCAAACACGCCAAGTGCATCTTCAATGCTCTGGCAAGATCGTGTGTACTGCCACCTCCCGCGTACGCATCACATCATCCGAATGTGCACGCCTCTTCCTTGAGGAGAAGTACGCCATTGGGCAGATGTTCCGACGTCTAGAAAAAGTCCCGGCCTTCGAATTGTTAGCCGTGGGGTCGGGGCCCGTGGAAGAAATTGAACGAAGTTCAAAGCCTTCCTGGGGTGGTAGTGATGACAAGAAGGACGAAGAACTATGGAGGAAGTATAAACTTTTTATCCCCGATTTCGAGTGCGAAATCATCGAGGTGTTTCCCTCCAGAGAGATGTTCATGGCAGGGGAGAGCTGGCTTCTTGACGAGACAACGACGCCAACAATGGGAACAACCGGCTTCCAGAACGGAGATATCAAGCTGGCCAACCGGTCTTTATGGCTGCTCCAGAGCGGCAATTGGCTATTTGGGGTTGGATTTTTGTTGATGATCGCGTTCGAGGCCGCCCTTTTCGCGAATGGCCGATCATGGTCCTGTTAAATCCAAGTGGTTAACACTGATGGGCACTTTTGACACTATTGAAGTTAGTTATTCATTGAATATTGTATACTGTTTATGGCGTGTTCAAGGCACATATAAGATGCTGGAATTATAGAAGAGCATGGGCATAAAGCGCCTTGAAGGACAAGAATTTTTTTGGTTCAGGAAGATTGACATTCTGAGCGGCCGAAAATAGCTCCAGCTACAAGCTAATATTCAACCTGCTTGCGACATAGATATATAGCGGCTTCAGGAGTCGGGTGCGTTGAAAAGCACGAAATATTACATAACGATGCAAACCTAGAGCTTGAACCAATCTCGAAAGTTGTCGACGACTAAGGTTGGCGGGACGGCAGGATTCGCTTTTGTAATTCGTGATAAGCCCTAAGGTAGGGTTACATTTCCCTCCAATTCTCTCCCACGTATACAGTCATTTACAGGTCCTCGATACACACAAATAAAGACAGGCCTCAGACAAATGTATTAAGACAGTAAAGTACAATCTAACTATGCAGGATCATTACTTAGTACATACATACATGTAATTGAGACCGAAATTGACTATCTACGGAGAGCAGAGGGAGGATGAAGTTAATCTGTTCAAAAGTTGCTTATCGCGGAGAATTATGTCCTCGATACGGCCGTCACATCAGGCGTGACACCCAAAACGGCTATGTCTGATTAGATCACGATGAGATCATTCCTCGTCCTCCTCACCGCTCTGAGTGTCGTCGTCGCTCTCCCTGCCAGGTTCAACGGGTTCGACATCTTCAGCATCATCTGCAGCAGCAGCTTGTTGAAATGCACCCTTCTTTGTCCAAGTCTTGGGCTTTTGTGGCTCAGCTTTCGGCTTGCTCGGTTTCTTCCACCTGGGTCTCTCGCGCACTTCTTTTGCCCTGTCCCGCTCGAATGATCTTGTCTGCATGTTCCTTGAGGCACCTATTGCTGAAGGGAAAGTTCCGTGCAGCCATCTCGAGAGCATAGTCGATGAGAACAGTTGCTTCAGTTTCTGTAAGCCAGCTCTTCTCGGCATTGAAGTCAGACAACTTTGTTCCCCCATGAGTATGCTTCCAGAGAGTACTGTGTGATAAGGTAACATGTTGCCCAGTCTTTTGCAGATGTGCGGCACTGATTCGGTCGCAAATTGTACGAAGACCAAGAGGCTTGCCATTTTTGCCTGTAGGAGTTTGTTGTTCCTGTTTCTCCATTTCGGTTGCCTCGTCCTGGAGCAGAGATTTAACTTTGGCTGCAGCCGCAGCTTTGTAGAGTTTGGAACGTGCATGTTTCATCGTGCAGGGATCAAGCTACAGCTGCTGAAGAAATCCAGTTGCGTCGAGGATGACACTTTGCTGGCAATTCCCCCATTTGGAAGGTGTGATGTGACTGATGGAATTCTGCTTACACCTCCTCAAATCCTCACATCTCCACTCCGAAGCCTCCATCTGTGCTTTTGATGTCAGTGGCAGGTAGGCTTGAGTGTATAAAGAAGGGTTCCTGCTTGAAAAAATAGATGGTAGTCCAGATTGTTTTGAATGACATGTTCAATATTTCACAAATGTCCAAATCTCGACAGATTATACTTCCAACATTGCTTCACACAAGCACCCACCTCGAAAAGCGAGGGCTACATAGACATAAAGTATATATACTAGTAGGAAAGAAAATTAGGACAATTGGAACACTGGATGTGAAAATATCTGGGTTTGTATCGAGGACCTACAGTCGTGGACAAGCAAAGCCCACTAATTTGGTATCTTGGTAAATAATGTATCTAGAGCTGAGATTTTTCCAGATTCTGGCTCAGATTTGTGAAATGCGTCGAAAAACGCACCTCCGAAGTTTTTCCCACGAGGAATTGGCGTGGCCAAAATTTTGGACCAAAAAACTGCAACATTTGGGGAGAAAAACAGGTCGAAACCAGCCAGAAATTATCGAAAGTTGGTACCTGTGCTGGGCTTCGGCTGGAAGCTACTCAGAAAGGGCAAAGAATCTATCAGAAAGGGATTTCCCTGCATTTCGAAAGCCTAGTGTGATGGAATTTCTTAGTCCCGTGATAGATGTCACATCAAAAAGTGACTAAGTGCCCAATTTGGGTCAATGTTTGGCAATTTTTTCCAGAAGAACCGCTCGATAAATTGTTTCGAAACTTGATGGGCAGATTTTTCTCCGTGAAAGGAAGCGATTCCGCTATTTTTCATATTTTTCTTGGCACTTTTTGGTGTCCGGCCAAAAATTTAGGGTCTATTTTTGTATATGGCCATTTTCTCCAAAACGGCTCGTGAGACTTAGCTGAAATTTGGCCAGAAGCTTCCCTCAACGTATCTGCACGTTTTCCGGGCACTTTGGTAGCCATCAATAATTTCCATTTTTATTAGTGGGCTTTGCTTGTCCACGACTGTATCCTGTATCGAGGACCTGTAAATGACTGTACCTGCCGTCCCGCCAACGCTAGTCCGAGCCATAGCGTTTTCTCACGAATTAAAGTTTCAAAACTAACTTGATAAATTTGTTAAATATAAGAATAATCATAAAATCCACCAACCTTGCCCCAGTATGAGAAATTTAACATGTCTAGATCAGCAATCTACTGTCTCCACTAATCCTGCTGAAGAATGTCAAATAGTTGTTGATCAAGTCATCATTGAGTGCCTATGTCCTTGTTTTTTCTCTTCCTCAACGTATTTTTTATTCTTCTCCACGTATTTTTTATTCTGCATATCTTACAGAACATTTTTGTATTTTTGGACATGGGTCAGTAATAAAATACTTGAAGAATAAAATACGACATGTGCAAAACAACACAGAAGAAAGGAAAAAATATATAGAGAAGAAAATTAGGGTTAGGGCTGAAAAATTTTACGTCCAAATAACTTGAACAAATATAAATTGAATAAATTTCACAGTCGGCACTGCCCGATCTCATGAGAGTTGCCTTACATGGAATGAAAAAATACGCGGAGGCTGAGGAAGATACACGGGGCGACGAAGAATGCACATCAATGTATTATACTTGTGCACATTAAACAGCATAGTGAGGTATCAATGACAAGATATTGTATATCAGTGTATTTGTGTACTGTCATGTGACCATTACCAGGTCACTTTAGCTTAAATTGCAGATTGCACCCTCCCTCTCATTGGGAGCACATAAAATTTTGCGAGTGAGTAGGAGGAAACATACACATATTGTATCTGTAAGTTTCATTCTGGAGGGATGCTTTTGGGTAGTGTTAAAATGCCTTGACCCGTTTGCCCTGAATTGGTCAGCACCCATAAGCCAACCGTAAAATATTCTTAGACACCTCATATTCTCCTTATCTGATTTAAAATTTTGTGTGCAAGTTACCAATACCTCCACTGTAAACTCTCAAAAATATTTGTGTCAATAGAGGCTAGCACTGTGGAGAGAAATGGTCGTCAATTAGATAGACTTGCTTTGATGGGCAAACTTGGCAAAACAACAATGTGACCATCTTATCTCCCTTATATCTCAGCTCATGCTCAACGTTCTATCCAATAAATCTCCACACACAGCCGCATGTACATTGTCAAACTCTGTTCAAAATTTCAAATGCATAGAATGGATCGTTGTGGTGCTATAGCTTGTTGACCCGTTAGTGCTGATGACCCGTTAGGGGTCACATGGCAGTATTTGGTGAATGGAAGAATTGAGTTGGTCGGAAATCAAAATCCTGCCGTGGAGTTCCCACCAACGCTACGACGACCGTCAAACACACTCTTCTCAGGGAGTCCTTCTCTCTTCTTGATCTCCTTTTTACATATGCTGCGGGAACAATCCAAACCGGTCACTTCAAATGTCGAACACAACCTTTCCGCCATCCCTACTACCCGATTTACGACTGCCTGATCACACCAAGATCACGTTCAAGTTGTTGAATCTAATCAGTGCCGCCTCCAATGTTACTTCGTGTTGCTACCTAGATATTTATTTTTAGATCAGCTAACTATGTAAGTATGTTCAAACGTTTCCCTCTCCTTGTCTGGTATTTTTGTGCAGGCCGATACACTGGCACGGTCACCGACTTGCCATTGGCACCTATCTCTGATAAAGGTTAAGGCACGTTCCGTCACTCGCTCACACGTTTTTACCCTACAATTCTCCGCAAATTCATTATTCACAATAGCGGGTAGCGCTCAGCTTTGGACACTGTCACATTGGACCTCCTGTGCAACCTGCTACCACGTTGCGCTACAGTAAAGGACGACCCGCAGGCTTGAAATTTCTACCGTTTATCTCCCCCTTTGATCAGACCCACAAACACGTTGAAACTTGGTCTGGTTCCGCAATCGAAGACTTTCCGGCTTTACGTTGGTTTTACGTGCACCAAACTAACGTAGCTGTCCTCGAAGCTTCAAGGGATATCTGGTGCCCAGTTCTAAAAAAAGAGTAAGGACTTTAACATAAAACCTACTACATACCTACCGTTGGCGGCTGGGCTCAGGTCTGTATTTGGTAAGAGAAGTTGATTTCCGAGGGGTGTTTGGGGGAGCTGGCACCGCTTCTTCACGAATTTCTGAGTGCGTGACAAGGTGAAATGAAAAGTAATAGCCACTTGTAGGTATGGGGTGACAGCGCTTCTGGTTGTATGTTTTCCGCAAACAAACGGCAACTAGTTTCAGCTTACCTATTCTCTGAAAGTCATAACAAAACCTCCTTTATGTAAGTATTTGAATATTTGGTAAGTCTGTAGGCAGAGACTTTCATCTGATTTCTGCGAAAAAAAAAGGCGAAACAGGCACTTATTTCCTTGCATCAATTATACGCTCTACCACGCTATAAAATCTAAAGTGCAATATCTTATTGGAACACCATTTTGGAACATTTCGGCTACATACACTAACTGGGAAAAAAGAATGTCTGGTCATTTTTTGGACAAAGTTGGTGCTGTAACACAAGAACCAAACATTTTCAGAACTAAGCTCTGGTGTATGAGACATGGCTAAGGAGGTGTAGATTGTACATACCAAGTCTGGGGATGAATGAAAACTCAGGATAAGGCAGAGCATTCACTGTGACAACTTCCAAAAATGGGATTTGACAAAATGGGAAATTCTGAATGACTGCAACCTACTGGAAGCAATTCACAATTTGAAGCAGAAATATTTTAAACACTCAATCTCCCTGCTATTGTCATAAGCCCCATAAAGTCTCTGAGATATAAAATTCTATAGTCTCCCCAAAAAAGTGAATTTGAATTGATTCCCCTCCTTGGACATTTGCAGTTGCAAATATTGCCCAGGATTGATAGGAGAAGGTATCTATTGTCATAGTATTGTACATATACATAACTATTACTGTTCCATGATCTGATTTGACCACATTGCCAGGAATAAAGCATTTAATGGCTAATAAAACTTCAAGAAACTGTGAAAATTAAGAGACATATAGTCAATATGGTTCCCAGAAACCCTGCTTCCAAGGGGTTACAGTTAATATGGGTGTTTTGAAATGTCCATGCCAAGTGCTTCTACCTATCTCTTGAGTTTTGGGCACAGATGCTTCTCAAATGGCCCACAAAGCTCACTGAAGCATGACAGAGAGATTTCCAAATCAGGCCTAGAAAGGTCTGGGGGTCTCAGATCCTTGTATGAATAGGACCTCTGTTTATTTCCTTGGGATAGTGTTCCTAGGTATGAGATGTGCCTTGTGAAATATTTTCAGCCCCAATTCACCAAGAAAAATGTCAAGGATTGGTCCAGGATGATTGCTCTATGCAAAATGTACTTTTCTTGGGGACTATTCAAGTTATACCCAGTGTAAATTTATTTGCTATCATATTATACTTCAGGTGTTGTTTAAAGGACATCCTGAGTCTCCATGGATTAACTCAAAAGGGTGGTAGCATTTTTTCTTCTTGCAGAAAGAAGGACTGATGTTGTAGATACTTGTTTACTTTCAGAAAAACTCTGGAAATTAACTTCTACAGACATCATGCAATGGTCATTTTAACATTTCTACCTACCTTTTGTATTATACACACTACAAACATTAATAGGGAGTCATTTTTCCTCATTCCAACAAATATATTGAGTGAAAAATACATAAAGTGGAGAACAAGTTCAAATTTACCTTTTAGGGGAGGATATAAATTTTCTAGCCCAAAGACTTTATGAAGCTCATAACAATAGCAGGGAGATCCAGTGATCAAAATATCTCTTCCTCAAGTTGTGAATTGCTTTCAGTAGGTTGCAGTCATTCAGAATTTCCTATTTTGTCAAATCCCATTTTTGGAAGTTGTCACAGTGAATGCTCTGCCTTATCCTGAGTTTTCATTCATTCATCCCCAGACTTGGTATGTACAATCTACACCTCCTTAGCTATGTCTCATACACCAGAGCTTAGTTCTGAAAATGTTTGGTTCTTGTGTTACAGCACCAACTTTGTCCAAAAAATGACCAGACATTCTTTTTTCCCAGTTAGTGTAGCTTGCATGGTAAGGACTTTAACACTAGAGATGACCTCAGATGAGTGGATTGAAGTGGTTCAATATATCTCCAAGTAGAGTCCAATGTTCATTCAAGGTCCCACAACTATAGGTCAGGTAGAAAGCATCTGGTGGTCATAAACATGGGCTCAAGCAGCAGCAGCCGTCGAGCTATCCATATTCCCGTTAGCACGGACTTCTATACATATTGCGGCAACGACTCAGCAGGCTTCACAATGAAATACCCCCTCACTCCCACCACCTTTTCTCCCTACCTACCGACCCCAAAGCCCGCTTTATTAAACGGCTTCTCAGCCTTACCCCCGGCCACATATTCGACACATACGAGGGCGGCGCACAGAAGCCATATTCAAAATGGGGTGAATATCAACGCCCCTTGCTTGTGTCGGCAGCGCACTCTTTGTGTGCTCCCTCCAGAATGTCACAGACCGTTTAGACTTGGTGCCTTCAAGTTTTTGAAATATAAGGCCCATAAGGACATTCAAGCACCCAATAGAGAAGCGGAAAAAGGGCAGAAACAAGGGTGAATGTGTCCGCGTGATGCAGAGGATCACAGCTCTCATCCTGTGTACAAAAGAAATGAATGTGAGCTTGTTTGCCAATAAAGGAGGAGAGGGGGGTGGGAAACATACAGTATTTGGACGGCAGTCAGCACGCTGAGACCAAAGTTCTTTCCAAGAACAGCAGAAGAAATTCACTGTGTCTTTGATGATGAAGAGACGACTAAGGAGTGCCCAAAAAGCGGCCCCCAGGTTGGCTGCTTCCCCTGCAAGACATCAATTATACAAACAAAGAGCATTACAAAACAATTACAAAAGAAACACACAAAATGTGATCAGAGTTCTTTGTGATTCCCATTGTGGCAGAGGGAAGAATGGTCGCTTCGAGTAAGCTCCCAATTTAGTGCGAGGATCTTGTTGACTGGTCGGCGTCACAGTGAACAAGTGTCAGGATCCTGCCTGCGAACATGAGCGCGATGATGCTGAGGATGCATACGCCGTTGAGGCCGATGAATGTATAATCTGTTTTAGCACAAAGGCGAACGATTTTGAGCAGTTGAAAGAACGACACACAGGCGCGAGGAGGGAACTCATATGTTTTTTTAGACATTTGAGGCCAGGTCACGTCGAAGAAGGCAGCTGGGACCCCATCAATGAGCGAACCATCCACAAGCTTCCACAAGCCATCATTCTGATACCAAACATAGACCTGAGCCCAGCCGCCAACGGTACTAACTTTAGATGCGGGTAAATTCTCGCTGATACTAAAGGAGGCAAATCGTAGATACTAGACGATGATGTTGAGTCTTCTCTGTCAAATTGGATTTGGGTGGCTGTCTAGGCAAGTTTTTGTGTTATGTATCGAGTGAGATAAGTTTGATATGCCTGTTGGAAAGCGCACCTTCGGATTCGCCTCGGGCAATTCAGTACAACTCCCGCCTTACGATGTGAGTTTTTACGTTGTTGGATACCCAGCCTTATTCAGTTTGTCTCTTCACATCCAATCTACAGTATCCGTTGCTCAGCGGAGTACTTGTGACCCTTTATGACCTAGGCAACACGGAAAATTCACGGCTGCAAATACAAAAACACTCACGCAATCTGGGGCCAGGTCTTATGGAAGCATTCTTGGGTCCCATTCGTCCGGGGTTTAACCCGAATTTGACCGTCACTCGTCGCGAGTCGGGCAGATTATTGTATGCCTTGCCCACCTATATAAGCGACCTTTTATTGACCGAAGATGAAAGTATTCCCTCAGCGGATTTTTTCCCTCGCAATGGCCAAGATGACCTCCTTTGAGTCGTATAACGCGAAGACAACGAACATCAGCGTACGACTCGTCACATCGTCGGTCCTTGCATGTTGATTGAACGCTCGTTTTATACAGTATCGATGGCCATCCGGCGTAACCGGCATTGAGCGTATCGTGCTCTCTGCCCAAGGCGACCTTCAACGCGTCTTGAGGTACGGATCAACGTCAAAGCAATTGTTCACTGTCGCGCTAACAACAACCGTCCCCATAGCGCGTTTTTCGCCCAGCCAATAGTCGTCGCCCTCGTTTGCTGCCAGACCCTATATCATACCTCGCCCACATCCGCCCTCGCACCGTTGACCCTGCCCAACCCTGCCGCCATCGCATCCGCATCTCAAGAGACCCCCATAGTGCAAACGCGCAAAGTTTATCTCAAATGCGCTGGCAAGGTCGTGTGTACGGCCACCTCCTGTGTACGTATCACGTCGCCGGAGTGCGCACGTCTCTTCCTCGAGGAGAAGTACGCCATTGGCCAGATGTTCAGGCGTCTTGAAAAAGTTCCGGCATTCGACTTGTTGGCCACGGGATTCGGCACTGCGGATGAACTTGAAGGAAATCCGGGGAGCGTAGGTGATAACAAGAGGGACCAGGAATTGTGGAGAAAGTATAGGCTCTCTATGCCTGATTTTGAGTGTGAGATTCTTGAGGTATTCCCCTCGAGAGAGATGTTTGTGTTTGGGGAGACTTGGCTCGTTGACGAACCAACCATGGCGGCAAAGGGGGTTACCTCCTCCCAGTCCCAGAGTGGAGATGTCAAGTTGGCTGATTGGTCTCTGCGAATACCCCTCAATTGACTACTTGGGGTTGGCTTCTTGCTGGTATTTCTATGCGGGTCCATCCTTTCCGCGAAGGGACGGTCGTGGTTCTGCTGATCTCTGTTATATAATGGTAATGAATTTGATTATATCTACTTACCCAAGACTTGGTATGTATCTGTAACATCGCACTTTCTGAATGCTCTCCACATTAGTAGACTTTAACTTCCTTATACATAATAGATATGCGCCTGCCTGATTGTGCAAGTCCGGCGTGTCATGATTTTCCAGATATTAGTTAGCCCGCGCGTGCATTTGGGTAGCAGCAAGAGATTTCGGGACGGCAACAAGGGAATTTTAGCAGAATGAAGAGAGGTGGGAGATGCACTGGAATACATGACTCCGAAAAGCTTGGGTGCTGCGGGGATTTCATGCGTTACAAGACATGGTAATTTTTCGGTGTTTCTTTCGCGTTGTTGAACAAGGTCCGGTTATTTAAACTCCTACCGAGTCCCGACAACCTCCCACAAATATTCAACTCCAAGTCAGTCTATGTATCTACCCTCCGCACTGACATAATCTACGCTCTTTCAGTTTCAAGTTGCCTTGGAGTTGCAGATAGAAGAGATGCCTTTACTCAAATTCGCAAACAACCTAGGTTTGCGTGCAAGCTCGCACCAAACAAGGTGTGATTTTATCATACAAGTCCTGAAATAATGCAGTACATAACGGTGGAGCCAGATCGTACTGATGAGGTTGGCGACAGAAGCAATCGACGCTCGGAAAGTCCAAGGTCTGCCAGCGATGCGTTATATTAAGCGCCGTACTTTTGAGGAACGCCAGCGCGGGTATAGGGAGAAAATCTCCAATAACTGCATTGAAAACGTCAGGGGGCGGAAAGAAGATATAGGGGCGAACGGTAGCCAACCTGTAGTGCCTGAAGGGAGCAATGTTACGAGCAAACCATTTGATGGGAGCGGGAATACCAGGCTAATCCGCCTCTGAATCAGCAAGTCCATTCAGTTTAAGCAAAGAAACAGCTCAACATACCCAATTTGGTGCCTCCTCGAAGTTGTGATGTGTCATAACGAAGGGAAACACCGTCAACTTCCCTGGGAGATTTTTGACGTGTTCTTCAAATTCTGCGAGAAAATTTTCGGTGGGGTGTACAAAAAGAATTTAAGTTGAACTTTTCACGCACGATCCATCACCTTCTGCAGACCGTCCTTATCCAGTAATTTCAAACGCTCTTCAGATATGCTCGGAATCTACAACACACGTTAACCTCTCCAAAACTCAATAGGAATGGACAAAGATGAGAACTCACCTCTTCGTGCAAATGTTGCACAAGCGGATCGGCAAAAGCTTTGAGCAACACTCGAGTTTTTTCTCCGTCATACTTGTCCTTCCCATTGAAGACATGGTTTATGTACTGCTCAAAAGCATCCATGCCAGCATGGAAAGACTCGTGCTGCTCCACGTTGTGACTCATATCCAGCTTGGTTTGGAAGAACGGGAAAAGAATCGTTTCTTCGCCATGGTGATGATCATGGATGAGGGTCAAGCAACAGAGAGAGTATCCAGCAAATGCAACTTCGTCCTCAGGCTTCACAAGGGGTGCATTTCTCCAGATTGAGTTCAAGGCCCGGATGAACACGTTGTGAATGAGAGCCATTTCGCAGGACGTGTACGCTGCTAGGTCATCATTGACGAGGGCGAGGTAAGGAACGGTGGGAAGCGAGATAAGAGGGTATGGGTTTTCAACATCAGAGAAAGACATGTCCGTTGTGAATCCTTGAGGTGGAGGGTCATCCTTTTATAAGATCCCAAAGGCAGTCGCTGGGTAGGCGGGTCGATCCTTGTCAGCGTGCTGGTGATGTCAATGAAAAGGTGAAGGCTGGGCACTTCAAACGAATTTCAAAATATCTTCCTCGGTGTTTGGGTGTGCCCGGCATGTAATCGTTCGCCAACAACATCCGTTCTGTCTCTAAATCTACTCGCATCAATTGCGCTTTCCATGTACGCATCCTGTGTAAGGACCCCTGACATAAGGCTCAAAAATCGGATTTTAAAATGGACAGAGGACGCAAAACGGACAGATAATTCGTGTTGGCGCCGCGAGGCCGCATCCATAGTGCGGACAGCAATGTCATGATGCCAAGTACCAAACGGACAGATATCCAAGCGGAAGTAGGTCTGTGGCGGGTGGGCTCCATTGGGTTATATATTTTCTCATTCCATTCATTGAATTACGCTCATCACGTGTACAATCTGAAAAACGCATAGTGATGCGCATAATTATTGCATGGAATAGCGAGGATGGTGGATGCAGTACACTACAAATACAATGATGGAATAAGAAATCTATCCAGAAGGAACCCCTCTCCTATGACCGCTCTCCACGTAACCGACGAGCGAGGGCAAGATCTTTTGGTTGGATAGTAACGCGCTTGGCGTGGATAGCAGCCAAGTTGGTGTCTTCGAATAACGAGACAAGGTAAGCCTCAGCGGCTTCTTGCAGAGCCATGACGGCAGATGATTGGAAGCGAAGATCAGTCTAGTTGAAGAGATTTTGTTCATAAGTAACTTAGAGGAAACATGTTAGAAGAAGAGACGAACCTTGAAATCTTGCGCAATTTCACGAACGAGACGTTGGAAAGGGAGTTTGCGAATGAGGAGCTCCGTTGACTTTTGGTAACGTCTGATTTCACGGAGGGCGACGGTTCCGGGGCGGAAACGATGGGGCTTCTTGACACCACCTGCGGCGGCCTAGAAAGAGTAGAGAGGTCAGAGAGCTACTCGATTGGTAGAATGTGAACGGCGTACGGCAGTCTTACGCGCCGATGACTTGGCAGCGAGTTGCTTACGGGGCGCCTTGCCACCAGTAGACTTACGAGCAGTTTGTTTGGTACGAGCCATTTGTAAGATGTGGAGAGTGGTATGAAGAGTGGCTTAAGTGTTGGGTGTGGTGGCAACGGCGGTGTGGAGAAAAAGTTGGGGGGAGACAGCGAAAGGGACTGTGTATTTATAACAACGCGACTTTGTCTACCACGTGACCGAGCGCGCCTTTGCATCAACAAACGGAAATGGGGCACAGCCACAATCCCGCCTTATATAAAGGTCACACGGCCAAGTCCGTTTACCATTACCGCATTCTTGCACCCCGCCACCACTACCACCACCACACAACTTACCACCACTCCCACTTTAAATCACAATGTCTGGCCGCGGAAAAGGTGGAAAGGTAAGCTCCTCGTCCTTGGTTTATGTGCAACCGCTAAATTATTCCGATATTTTAGGGACTGGGAAAGGGCGGAGCTAAGCGCCACCGTAAGATTCTTCGCGATAACATCCAGGGTATGTATCTCTTCTGTCGCTGCCAGTCTCATTCGCTCATCGGTTCCATAGGTATCACAAAGCCCGCTATTCGTCGTCTCGCTCGTCGTGGAGGTGTGAAGCGTATTTCGGGTCTTATCTATGAGGAGACTCGTGGTGTCCTGAAGATCTTCCTTGAAAACGTGTGTTGTTACTTTGTTTGTTGCCTCTCTCCAGTGTTTCTAACCCTCTGCCCTCAGGTCATTCGTGATTCAGTAACATACACAGAACACGCGAAGCGAAAGACAGTGACAGCACTCGACGTCGTGTACGCACTGAAACGTTCAGGGCGCACGCTATATGGTTTCGGTGCATAAGCTTGTTCACATTGGATCCTTGTTGTATATCTATTTGCTGTATTGTATTTTATAATTCATCTCCTTTCGTGGTGTAATGCTCTGTCAGTTGAGTTTGAGAGTCGTGAGATGGTAAATTGTTGGTGATGGAGCCGACACAAGTAGTGAGATCTATCTTTGTTCTTGAGGCTTCCACATTTGAGCAAAGCTCAATGACTAGTAGTAGTTGCGGTTCCAGCATACTTGAACTTGTGAGTATATTATATGCGAGCTCAAGATAAAGTACAAATTTATTGCGGTACTTCCGCTCCGACTGCTGTTTCGTCTTCAAGCGTCATATCTACCTTATCCGGGTCATGGTTCCGCAGCCGAAGCTCCACCAAGAACTCCTTATCTCGAATGGCTTGAGACCATGACGATAAGAGACCGTACAGCACCACAGACGACCTGATAAGTCCAGCGAACATAAATATCGAGGGATAAACCACCATGACTGTTGTTTTGACGTTAAGAACAGTAGTATAAAGACATTTATATCGGGTACTTACAAACGAATTTGTTGTCCACCGGCATTTGAGGTAGAAGATATTGAAGGGTTCGAAAGATGGCGCCCGGGAAAAGGATCATACCCAATAAACCACCCGTTAGCGGACCAATAACTTCTTTCGTCGCTGTAACGGGGTCGGGTCGAATCCAACCGTTCATTGTTATCTATTTGCCCAACAAATTAAATGAATGAGGACAAGCAAAACAAATTAATCACTGACGTGCTGGAACCCTTGAGTTATTCGATTCGGTGGCTGAATTCGAACAGCATGGAGCGCAATTTTTCCATATAACAGACCCAGAGCCCAAGTATCGACGACGCGTATTCTCGGAGTCATCGATGGATCCAACGAGAACCGAATGGGCAAAATGATATACAAGTCCACAACAAAGGCAACCAAAATGGGGATGATGATGCCGAGGAAGAAGCCCATGTACAGGACTTTCGCAACCCAGACTAAACCGCGCTTGATCACCAGAACTCGCAAATCACCTCGCGGGGCATCGGTAGCTACCCTCGCGCGCTGGCGTCTCTTGTCCAGTTTGTCAATTGCTTTACCCACGAGATAGCAACCCCACAAGAGATAAAACCCAACAATGAGCGAGTATCCATCGTGCAATTCACGACTTGTGAACAGCTTGAAAAAGCTTCTTCCAAGTTGGATGGGAAGTGCAACCATGACTCCAAGCGAAATTGCACCAATAACCCATAGAAAAGCGATGAAGGATATCACACGTTGGCGGAAGTGTGGTGGGATATAAACGATCATATAGTCATCCCGGATGTTCCTCTTGGCCTTTTCGGCTTCTCCATCTTGGATCTGCATTACGCGAGCAGAGGCATCGTCGAGGGGTTTGCCGTCCTCTGTGACGTCTGCAGTTGCCCGGAAATCACGAGGAAGTGCAACATTGTCGGTGGCTGGAACTCTTCTGAAGGAACCGTCAGGGGTACTTGTTTCTTCAGACGCTGGTGATAACCACTTGGTCCAGTGATTCGGGGTGCGTTCTTCTTCTGAGTGACGTCCACCAAAAAAGTAGGATGTCAGACGCAGTTTTTTGGCGAGGTACTTCCAGACCACTGTTGTCAGATTCTTCGTCGCTCGCTTCGGTCGGAAGTAGTGCATCGTATGAGGAAGAACAAGATGCAAAAACAGAAGATCAATTGGGACATTGGACAAGGGCTCCCTGATAATATTAATGTGATTAGGACAGCTGACCGGAGGACAAGCTACCACCACTCACCGGTTTTTCCATCGGAAAGGCATGATCGATTTGTTGCCCAAAACTAACAACCCGGCCACGCTTCCAACGACACATGCAACCACGAATGAGTACAAAATGCCACTGACAAATATTTTACGCAGCTGGAGAAGTGTCGGCCGGTCCAGGATATCACGGATTGGGTGCGAATTCGCGTCTTGAGGATCCTTGATGAACCACATAGCGCCTTGGCGCATGATACTGCGACAGCCAGATAGAATGACAGCAAACGTATACCTTGAGATTTAAACATAACAGTAAGCTCCACATCAGCGTCAAGGTAGTGAAAAAAACACACATGAACATGGTACCAGCAACCCAATGATAAAATGTCGCAGTGAGAGGTGCTTGAAAGAAAAACACTGCTCGAGCTTGGAGATTCGCTTCAGGGAACAGCCAGACGGTGCACAGGTCCAAAACGATGCCGCAACCCAGCGGGAAAGTGACCAACTCGATAAATATGAATGAAGCCACTTTGATAACGAGCAATTGCTGTCGCACTGCACTTCTTACGGCTCGTCCGGCCGTTTTCGCGTTTCCAACGGTCAAGAGGTTGAGGTAGAGTGCTACAAAGAGACCAACAACAACGTATCCAAGGAGGATGGCAAACGTTTTCTCTGAAGGGCCTGACCCGAGTGCCATTCGGATCCAAGCTTCTTTCGATTTCGTGAAGTTTAGCCGAACTTCTCTCCCGAACGTCGCAAAGTATGGTTCGGCCCACTTTAGATACTTTGGAAATAGAATGTCTGCAGCAGTGTCAACGGTCGGTAGAACAGTTTCCACAGCGGCCGGGTGTGTCCAGACAGAGAGTTGTGCCAGCGGTTTGTTGATTAAATCTATGGACTGAGAGTACTATGGAATGTCAAGATTAGTGCACAATAAAATAAATACAGAAAAAAACATTTATACCAGCTTAGAAGAGAATTGTGATACTCCATCAGCAGTCCCTTTCCCAAACACTTTTCGGAGGAACGTAAATGCGATGAACATCGAAACCCTCAGAATCAGTTTCAATATGTGGAGGAAGGGCGGCAGCAGGGACCGAGTCAGAACGAAAGCGACAGAGTCCACTATGGGATCTGTCACAATCCTCATTCCTCGGATAGGGAGGTGCAGGATACGAATCAGACGTTGGGGATTCAGCTGTGGTTCAATCAATATTAATATCCGATCCTAGAGACAACAGCAAAGACGTACAGAGAGCAGCGCCGTTGACTTCCCGATTGTGAACGGTATCCAGATGCCAAGACCAATTGCGGTGTCAAGGACGAAAATCATAAGTGCGGCCTAGAAGTAAAAAAAAGGGAGAGATCAACAATGCACAACTCAAGAGATAAAAAGACAAACATTCTGGAAAACAACATAAATTGCCCCCCTCATCCCAATCGCTGTTAATGATCCGGTCAGTCATGTGAACTTCCAGATGAAAGGAAAAAATTAACAACCTTCCATAGCACCCTCCATATCGTCTTCCACATTCCCATCCCCCTCCTCGTTTAATTCAAGGCCCTCGTTATTGCCATCCCGGACCCCATTTCCTGCCCCACCCTCTGCATTAACAAAGGCATCGGGGAAACCCTCCTGCCCAAGTATCTCCTCTCCATCTTCGAGTTCTACTGCCTCCCATTGCCCATCATCGTCAAAAAGCCCATCCTCCTCCTCCTCATCTTCTTCCTCCGCGTCATCAAACATCCCATGAGCCGCCAAGTTATGATGCGCATCCCCTGGTCCTTCATCTTCATCGTCTTCATCTGAGTCCGAGTCCGACGAGTCGGTGAGTACATGCAGCCCTGATGCATGGTCATCCTTAGCCTCTTGTCCATTCTCTTCTGCCTCGATCTCAAACTCGACCTCATCAGCAAAGTACCTCTGAAATTCCGACTCAATCCCCAAATCTGTGCCATCACCCTCTTCCTCAACGTCGATAGGGATATCTGTAGTCTCCACTCTGACCTTCTCCATCTCATCTCCCTCCTCTTTGGCCTTGCCTAGGCGGCGAATTCTCTCTGGTCCACCACGTCCATTGACACGTTCCGCCTCTTCCTGCTGATAATCATCCTGAGAATCACCCCTTTCTTCATCATGGAAATATCCATCTTCCGATGGCCAAGCTTCCACTTCCAATTCCTCTGGTGCACAATACGTAGCTAGACTCGGAGAACCTAGTGGGGAAACGACTCTGGACCCGTTGATATTGAAAGTAGTACTGGGGAGTTGTGGACGGCGCAAACTTGATGATGATGCAGACGTGGTAAGTGATGGTTTTGGGTTTTCTATTGGGATTAGTAGTGGCGGTTGTTGTAGATTGAACGAGAAGGAATTCGGTGATGGAATTGGACTTGCAGTTTCTGAAGGAACGGGAGGAAAATTGAACGACGATTGCTGTGATGCGGATCCTGTGTTGAATTCGATTGAGTAGTTCGGAGACCAACGTGGTTCGGAGAGACTTCTACGCGGTTGGAGACGATCTATGTGATGAGGGGATTCATCTTGAAATGCTGAGGTTGCTGTTGACGGGACAGGGGGAGTGGTGAAGGTGAATTCGAAATTTACATTTTCGTCTGGGAGGATGAGTGGTCCGGGAGATGAAGATGGGGATGGGGTAGATTGGAGCGGGAACATGCGTCGACGAGCCGCGTTTGCTGCTCGGTTTGCACGTAGTCTGCGACGTTGCATTCTTCGTTCGTAGGTTAACGAGCTAGAACCTTCGCCATCTTCCTCACCTTCATCGTCTTCGTCGTCTAGAGAATGTATTCGCCGACGATGCCGGGCGGGCTGATCTGCATCCTGGTCACGGTTCCAGTCATTGCCTTCAAGATTTTCCGTTTCATTCATTGCTGCTGCTTCAACATCGTTCCCATGTTCTTGAATAGCGGGGACTGGTTCTCTTGGAGGTACTTGCAGGAATTGATTTGGAAGTTCGTCCATACGCACAGGTACGAGAAGATTTCCCTCCATGCGCACTACAGGTACGAGAAGATCCACCTCGGGAACCTCAACGGGAAGAGGGTCCTCTGGAAGGGGTTCTTCGTCCTCAAATACACCGGGTCGAGCGTTTTGAGAAATCCATTCACGTAATAAAAATACGGCCACAAAAGTAAGGACGATGAGCGATGCGATTATTTGGCCAGTAAAAATGTCAGCAGAGAGTGTGACCCAAGTCGGATGTGTAGTGAGCCTGGCTAGAAGGGTTTTAGGCGGCGGTATGACGGGCTCGTATGGCACTTTCTGATAAAGAGTGGGAGTTTCTTCTAGTATAGGCCGTGGCTGATCGCTTATCCACAAAGCGCTGGGAGAATGGAGAAGTTGTTATGAAGAAATAGGAAAAAAAAAAACGTCATGACATACGTTGATTCACCCATTGAAAAATACATCCGCCAGGTCCACACTGTTACCCATGGTAATACTGCTAGCCAAATTATGGCCACAGCTATCGCTCGCAGCACAAAAAGTACACCGAAGAGAAAGTGTTGGATTAAGCGCCGGATCAAAAGCACTGGTGGGAGTGTAGAGGGCATATCATTGGCGTAAACTATAAAAGGCGCGATTGAGCAAGGGTAAGAGTACTTTGACGCGTGAATGAAAGTACCCTTTGTAAATGAGTACGGGTGCTTGCAAACATCGCAGGTTTTCTTCTTGCTATGAGCGAGCCATGTTGTCAAGCTGAAATACAAGGTCAGACGACTCGAAATTGGTGTCTGAACTTCACTAACCAGTCCTGATGGATATAGCGGATGGTTCCAGAGCATTTGCAAGGGTGAAAGAGGGGCTGGTCAGGCTCCGCTGGCGCGCTGCAGATCCTGCATGTGTCTGTCGGAGAAAAGAGTGAGGCGCTATTTGTATGGTACAGCAGTTGTGCATACCCTGTTCTTCGGCTTCATGCATGAGAGAAAGCCGTCAGTTCAGCTAAGAACTAAGCTGGCGTTTTATGTTGATGATTAGTTGATGTGTCGTTGGACGAGGACGAAAAGGAGGACTATTGACTCGGAGTGGGGTCCACGTGGACAAATCTTATCTTCACTTCCTCACATGTCTTCCAGGACCTCTGGAAATCTCTGCTACCATGATGTTGTGGCTTGCAGCCCTTCTCCTGCATTCGTGCACTGCCCTCGCTAATCCAACCCTCAAGACGTTGTCCAGTCCTGGGACGACTCCGTAGAGAAACTCTCGTGGGTAGATGTCCCTCAAGGATGGGATTTTGAAGCGCCCGCACCACAGGATTATATCTTTGACTTGCGGATCGGTCTCAAGCCCACAGGGATGGACGATTTTATTGCCCATTCAATGGAGATCAGTGACCCGGACCATGTTAGGTATATTCTACAACACCATGGCCACTTTTTCAGCGGCTGATACCTCCCAGATATCCACAGCACCTACCCAGAACAGAAGTTGCAAGCTGGCACCTCACCCATCTTCCGCGGAGGCCGTCGAGTCCTGGCTCGCATTCCATAAAATCGCACGACCATTGACCATTGAACGCGTCGGTGGGGGTAACGAAGGGTGACGCTGCGCATCTCCGTTGCCGCATGCTAGGAGCCAAGTACAGCATCTATCATAACCCAGCTTCGCGCCAACGCATTATTCGGACTCTGACTTACTCCTTGCCTCGCGAGCTCCATCAACACATCGATGTCGTCGCTCCCACAACGTATTTTGTCACTTCCCACAGTATGCGTGCAACCCATTTCTTGCAGCCCCTCAAGTACTTGGCAGAAGATCTTGTTGGTGTCCCTTTTAGGGGCTGCCAAACAGCAATTCGTCACCACTGTTGGCGGCACCTTTAGAATTTCGGAGGTAGGGGTCAACTTTACTGGTGGAGGATTTTCGAGATACAACCTAGATATCAGAAGGTGGCTGTGGATGGGTTCCTTACCCGTTTAGAGGAAGCATAAAGGGTTGATCAAGTATGTGCGTTCCTTTGATTTGGACTCAAAATGAGCTCACTCTTTCACTAGCCCAAATGGTCGTGTCTCAGCACAAGCTGACGGCTTCCAGGTCGTTGTGAGCGGCGTGCTTGAATCCAGTAGAGGAACGAGTGCTAGTTGTCCTGTGCGTTTTCTATAATTCATCTTCGTGCCCATATGAATTGCGTGACTAAACTCAATGTAGGTCGTTGCGGGGATCTTCTCACTGCTAAACGACTTTCGTTTATCAGAGAGTAACGCATCTCTAGGATTTATCAACCCCCTCCTCGACTCTATCGGGTCGACGGGCTTCAACGATAACATCTCGGGATCTAATTCAGGTTGCGGAATTGATGTTCAGTCATTATTTCCCACTCTAACGACGTCTTGAACCAAAATTGAACCAGGGTTTACGACAGGTGTGGGATGGAACCCTGTAAGTTTTTGTTTTGCCTTCGTTTGCATCATATGTGGATCGGTCCTGATTCCTTTGATAGGTTACGGGTTTAGGTACAACACCTAGATGCCTGATGTCAGAACGGTTTTGTTTGCGCAACTTCGCCGCACTGAACACTCGTTGTTGAACAAGTTGTTCAAAATCAACTAATCACATCATGCGTGAATGGGCTACTTACACCTTAAACAAGGGATGATCAGGCAGTTAAGCAAAGTCTTTGACAGATTCTAGGACAAATTAATCATTTTTGCACCTGTTATGTAATTAAAACAGACCTATGGGAATTTTTTTATTTTGACAGTGTGTTTGCCTATTGTGTGAAGGTGACGTCCAAATGTAAAAAAATTGTTGTTACTATTTTTTAAATGTGTTGTAAGGTACATCCACAGGACAAAAGGCTGTTAAGAATTAAAATTTGTAAATGGAACGGATTTCAGGAACAATTCAGTTTGTCTCTTCGGCATGAGGCAAAACTTTAATTTTTAACAAAAGCTTCGCCTAGGGAACAGAGTTGTGGACAAATTTAAACAATAATCATATTAATTGTTTTTATTGTGTCAGCCCCTTGAACAATTGGCAAATATACTGTCAAAATAAAAATTGTCCCATTTATCTGACCTAATTACATACAAGGTGCAAAAATGATAAATTTGTCAGGGAATCTGTCCAACGCTTCGCTTCACTGCCTGATTGTTCCTTGTTTGAGGTGTTATAAGTACTTAGGTTAACGCCCAACTTCTGTAAGTAGATCACGTGATTTGCTTGGTTCGTCGACAGTCACACAATCATTGTCTTCGAGCAGCTGCATGTTCTGTAGGCATGCTGTGATATCAATGAAGAAGGAAGAGGGACTGTGCTAAAACTACCTGCAAGAGATACGAGGAGTGAGGCCAACGACACGCGATCATGTCACGTGGACGGAGTCTTATGTATAGCTCAAAGTTTGAACGTCCCACACCAAGTCCCACACAATCATACTTAGTCTTCATTGCGAGGCATCTCGAGCCTCCTTGAACTCGTCTTCTGCTGGATCATCTATTTTAGGCCATCTTCAACGAAAATATCACCCATGTGGACAAAATTTCTTCATCATGCTCTTCTTTTCCGACTGTTGCGTTCTCCAACTATTAGCATCCTTTAGCATCCCACTATCATGTGGTATATCAAAGAACGTCACTCCCTTTGTTTGAACCAGAACCGAGGAGAGCCGTGGACAGAACCTTGGCACAACCATATATTTACCATGGAACCGAGCCGAATAAAGAAATGACAGCACCTTAATGGGCAAGATGCGGGGCTTCAACGGGTCAGGGATGCGTGCCCGGACATTTTGAAATCCTTTTAAACCCCCTCTTCGTTTTCTACCACCAGCTTCTACCCGGCACAATGTGGTGGTCGTCAGCCGTCGTCCTCGGTCTCCTACACTCGTTTCCTGTTTTCGTCGACTCCAAACCCCTAGAATTCATCAATCGGCGTTGGGATGACCTCGTTGAAAAGCACTCCTGGGTAGACGTTCCTCAAGGATGGTCTTTCGAAACTTTCGCACCACAGGACTATATCTTTGACTTGCGTATTGGTCTCAAGCCCACAGGGATGGACCAACTCATTGCTGATCTAATGGAGATCAGTGACCCATCGCATGATAGGTGTGGTTCTTCCGACTCTATTCTTAATCTTTTGTGGTGGCTGACGCTCCTAGATATGCACAACACCTGTCCAAAGCAGAAGTAGCGGATTTTATGACACCTCATTCATCTTCTGTCGAGGCTGTTGAATCCTGGCTCTCATTTCATACCATCAATCGCACAAGCGTTGGACGCGTCGGTGTGGGTGGCGAATGGGTGACACTCCGTCTTTCCGTTGCCGAGGCTGAACGAATGCTGGGAGCCAAGTACCACATATTCCATAATTCGGCTTCAGGCCAACGCGTTGTGCGGACCTTGGCTTACTCCTTGCCCCGCGAGCTCCATCGACACATTGATGTTGTCGCCCCTACAACCTATTTCAGCACTCTCCAAAGCATGCGCGCAACCAACTTCTTGCAGCCAGAAATCGATGCTCTCGTTGGGGACCCGGCCGTACTCCTTTCAGATCCTATTGGTGCTCTTCCAAGGAGTTGTGAAACGAGGATCACACCTGCTTGCCTGAGGGCTCTGTACAAAACTAAGGATTACAAGCCTGTGTTTACTGACAAAAACAAGATTGGGATTGCGGGATACCTTAACGAGTTCGCCTCATACTCTGATTTAGGAGTAAGCATTGCGCGTTCAAGCAAGGGAAGTATCTGAAATTGTGGCTCATGATTAGACGTTCTTTGATCAATTCCGACCTGAAGCCAAAGGCTCAAGCTTTGTGACTGTGCAAGTCAATAACGGGGGCGATGATCAGGACAAACCTGGCATTGAGGTATGTCGGGTATCGCCCTTCTACTCCTAAGTTTACCACGTTGCGCACAAGGCAAACCTCGATATTCAATATACCACGGCCATGACGTTTCCAACCGCGAATACCTACTACAGGTACGCTCTTCACAACCTTGATTTATCATTATAACGTTGATGTCATTGTAATTATCTGTCAACAGTACTGGAGGATCGCCTCCCATTAAACCTGACTCCTTTACACCAACAAATACCAATGAGCCGTACCTCGACTGGCTCGATTTTATCTTGACTCAGGACACTATTCCCCAGGTCATTTCTACCTCTTACGGGGATAACGAGCAAACAGTGCGTAGAATTTAATGTAATTCTCTCAAAACACCGAGACGAATGGAATTCTAGGTCCCCAAAGAGTATGCCGAAACTGTTTGTAAACGCTTGGCGATTCTCGGCGCAAGGGGAACGACGGTATTATTCTCTAGCGGTGATTACGGGTGGGTGGCCCTGCCTTTCGCTTGTGCATGTCCGTTAAAGATACACACCGACAGTGTTGGCGGTGGTGACTGTAAAACTAACGACGGAACCGACACAACACTTTTCCAACCCAGTTTCCCTGCTTCGTGAGTCGTGTGGTGACATCTTGAGGCCCGACACACAACGAATGCATTTTACCGTTCAGATGCCCTTTTGTCACCACCGTGGGCGGTACCATCTCAATTCCAGAGGTAGCGGTCAACTTTTCCGGTGGTGGATTTTCAAGATACTTTCCGCAACCTTCCTATCAAAAGGGGGCTGTAGACGGCTACCTCTATAGTTTGAATGGGGATCATGAGGGGTTATTCAAGTACGTCTGTTCTTCTGATCAAAAACTCGGGACTTAAATATAGTGCTTTTCACTAGTCGAAGTGGTCGAGCCTACCCAGATGTTGCGGCGCAAGCCAGCGGCTTCCAGGTCGTCGTAGGAGGTAAGGTGCAATCCATTGGAGGAACGAGCGCCAGCTGTCCTGTGGGTTCTCTATAATTCTTGCCCGTGTGCACGTTGTTTAGACCGACCGATGTAGACTGTCGCAAGCGTGTTCACCTTGTTGAACGACTATCGTTTATCACTGGGGAAACGCTCTTTAGGGTTTATCAATCCTCTCCTCTATTCTCAATGGTCGACAGGATTTAACGATATTGTGGCTGGGCGGAATCCTGGTTGTGGGACAACGGGTCAGTCTTTCGTTTCCCTCTGATTTTTTTTTTGGTACAGGGTTGAACTAAAAGAAATGAGTAGGTTTCTCCGCTGGAAAGGGATGGGACCCTGTAAGTTTCTAGTGCTTCTTTAACGTGTTTAGAACGCTGGTTGACCTCTTCGTTAGGTTACGGGCTTGGGTACACCGGACTTTTTGAAGTTGAAAGAGTTGGCAGAATATTGAATGCTGCATTTAATGAAGGACTTTTTAGCCATCTCTATATATTATACATTTATGTATATCTTATTGGACATGTCTGGTATATTGGAATGGATATGTCTGTTCTTCGTTGTGTACGCGTATGGACCAAACAAAGACATCACATGATGGTAGAAATTTCGCTGGGTAGATTTTCGCTCTGTTCTTGTCACCGTCAAGCTCTTCACTCCGCGCGAGTGTTCCCCTCCTGGCAAGACGGGACTACAACTCTCTCCATGCCTCTCGTTGCCACGGTTTCCCTTGCTCTATAAGACCTCGGAATTCCAGTGGCGGTTTCTGTTGGCTTTAACCAAGCGTTGGCCCTATGTTCCGAGCGTGCCAACTGCTCTCACATCTTACGGTCAAGCATTTACAATTTGCAGTCAAGCACGCTCCACGACGTGCATATACTATGGCGAGCGCACCTACACTAATGACATCACGCGACCTACCACCGCACCAGAGGCCTCCCTTATTCAAGGTCCCGCCGATTGTCAATCCACCCCCACCGGAAATGAGCCCCCAGAGCAACGGTCGTCTGAGGAATGGAAGTCGTCTGCCGAGCTCAAGTCGTACACGAGAGGGACCCCGTCTGTCAGCGAAAGTTCGTCCATTGAACGAACGGCCCATTATACGCAAAGGTCCCATCCGAAAGCCTTATAAAAAGAAGAAGAAGAAACAGGTTTACTCGCGTCCGACTCTGCCCATGATCCAATTTGGCAAGAATGCTGGATGGCTGTTGCGTCATGGCGCAAGACATCTTGGGTTTCCGATTCGTCCGGACGGTTTTATGCGGCTCCAAGACGCTGTACGTGATTTTTGTTGGGCTTTTGAAAAAGCGAAGTTCATGACGGTTGATGATCGCAGTTGCATTTCTCCACGCTCAATCGTCATACTGAGGAAACGTTTCTGGAGCACGCGATAAATGACCCTCCTCAGCGATTTGAAGTCAAGAAGGAGCGAGATTATTTCTCTGTTTCCGACGTAGAGGTGTGGTGGGTGAGGGCGAAGGAAGGTCATGACATCCCAGTATGCAACACAACGTCCTTGCTGACGTATCTCATGCTAATATGTCCGTAAATCAGGGTGTTTATGTTGATAGGAAAAGGTTATTTCCTGATACGACTTTGACAGAGGTGTACTTCAGAACGGGGTTTGATCAGTGGGAGAAGATCAGTGAGTAGAGTATCGCATCTTAAATTTTTGTTTCCTCAGGTTTGCTATCTTAGAAAAACAAGGTATACCTCCAGCTCACGCAGGCCTCATCCGTCTTTCTGCAACGTCAAGCGTCAAATCCTCTCGTAAATCTACCATAACATCCAAGTCTGACATTGGCTAACTAATGTGTTGATAGGTCCCCAGAGGTGGTACAACCGGGTGAATGCAGTTCCAATCAGATTTGTTACGATTGCTGTCGATATTAGACAAGCCTTCGCTCTAGGCATCGAGTTTTATCGCACAAGGAGAGGATACATTATCTCTCCGGGCAATGACGAGGGTGTTATACCACCATCCGTTTTCTCGAGCGCGGTCGAAACCGTAGTCTCCAGACAGGTCCTGAAGCCATACGTGAAATAGTCCAATCTGCATGGATTGGCTTGCGACTCTGAGAGTTGTCACAAATATAGGCCGCGCACGGTTGCGTCGTCGAACCATCACTACCGGGAAAATCGCTGCCCAGTAAAGCATGGTTAATGTGCACTGCTTCCACCTTGGCTCGGCTGTGACCAGCAGCAATATCACATAACGTGAAGCCCAACAGGTCCAATAGATCAGCGCTAAATGCGACTTGGTTTTCTCAGGGAGGGAGGGCATGCTGGCAACTTGCTTTTTACCTAGACGACTATTTGTATAGCTCATTTTGGGCGTCACATGGTATGGAGACGATGGCTTAATGATAGGTTCACCTTTACCCAGCTCTCACCGGCCACGACATTTGGTTATCATTGAGCCTTTGGTGTATGCTCCTCCACAGTCATCAGACAACATTGCGTATGCCGCCATCTGTGCTACGAATTTAGACAGACCAAGACGGCAACAGGCTGCATGAATTGTGCAAAGATTGCTATTTGTACATCGATTCATTGATGATATCTCCTTCCAGGTTGATACACGTTCACTAGATCAAACACGGCTCCCGTACACGTCCTTGGGCGTTACACCAGCCTGACCTTTGCGGATGTTGGCCTGTGCCCATCTGTACAAGAGTGTTAGCGAGGAACATGGAACAGTACAGCGAGGACGACTGACTTTTTGATTCTGATAGACTCAATTTGGATGAACCCAGAGGTATCGGTGGGCTCAAAGCCGCCCAACTCATCCATAGACGACTCGTGTTCGTCGTAAAGACCCTATCACGAAGATCAGCATTGAAGCATAAAACACAAAGAAGAGGAACGTGCCTCGGAGCTGGAGCGTCCTTCGATAACGACATTGCCTTTATACAACTTCAATTTGACCAACCCATTGACGGTCCTCTGGCTCGCGGGGATCGAGCTGGTGACAAACTCCCTCTCTGGTGTGAAGAAGTGGCCGTTGTACAAGATCCTGCTGAACTCAATCGTTGTGAACTGGTCCCTTAGCGCACGGACGTTCCTGTCGAGTGTAAGACCCTCCAAGTCAACGTGGGCCGCGCGTAAGATGGTAGCGCCGGGAGACTCATAGCATCCTCGGGACTTGACGCCGATGAAGCGATTCTCGACGATGTCGATCCTTCCAATACCATGTTTTCTGCCCAAGGCGTTGAGGGCGAGGAAGATCTCCACGGCGTCGGTATATTCCTTGGCGTCGGCGGGTACGGTGACCTTGACGGGGAGCCCTGCCTTGAACTCGATGGCGATGCGCTGAGGTTCCTGAGGCGCATCTTCAGGGGCAGTCGTTAGCTTCCACATGTCAGTTGGGGGAGTGATGTCTGGGTCTTCAAGTATCCCGGCTTCGTAGGAGATATGGAAGAGGTTCTCGTCGGTTGACCAGGGCTTGGACGCAGTTTGGACGACGGGAATACCCTTTTTCTCGGCGTAGGCTAGCAGGGCTTGACGACCGGGGAAGCGGTCGTAGAATGCTGTTGTTGTTGAAGGGCGAATCAGTGATGTATCGCTTGAGAGGAACATAAATCATACCAGGAATTCGCCAGGGAGCGACAACTTTGATGTCGGGCTTCAAGCCATAGAAGGCAAGCTCAAACCGGACCTGATCGTTTCCTTTTCCTGTGCAACCATGAGAAACGAAGCTGGTGTCGAGAGGATTGAGATACGCTTTTGGGATTCGATCGTGAGGACTCACTCGCAACCTTCCTGATCGGCGATGGCGATCATGCCGCGAGCAATAACGGGTCGGGCTAGAGATGTACCTAGAAGGTAGACATTCTAAAATAAATTAAAACTTGAATTATGGAGTTAGACGAGGGAAAAACCTCATAGATGGCGTTGGCTTGGACAGCAGGGTAGATAAGCTCAGTCACAAATTCGCGTTTGAGATCCTGAGAGAAGATATTGAACGAATAATGTAGAGAACGTCGAGAATTCTCACCGCCAAAAAGAACTTCTTTGCACCAACCGCAAGCGCTTTTTTCTCTGCCGCCGCGAAGTCCTAAATACATGATCAATCGGTGAAGATCATAGACGAAAGTAAATATCACACCTCTTCCTGTCCAACATCGGCCATGAATGCGTAGACTTCATACCCTTGTTCAATCAGCCAGGCCAGGATGCAAGACGTGTCTATAGATCATTCCTTAAGTAGATCGGGTGGACATTGGAGATGACTGCACTGACCCAAGCCACCAGAGTAGGCGAGCAAGACACGGCCCAATTTTTCGGACATGATTTTTTCAGAGGAATATGGAGATTTCGCTGATCAAGTGCTCGTTTGAAGGAACAAAGAAGGGAGTCAAGAGAGATATCGGCGGTAATTCGCTTCAAGAGAAAAACTCAAATGATCCCGTGGTGCCATCTTATCTTATCTGTTCCAGCACATTGTTAAATCACATCAGCACTGGCGTGACTTGTGCTTAGCACCACCAGCACGGTGCAATTCCTGCAAGCTCACCATTGTTCTTTCAAGACGGTGCCGTCAATGAGCAGAAAGTCAAAGCTCCTCTGAGGAACTATCGAAACTATGAATCGACCACACACTCACCGAGCACTCGAATCGACGTCTAGAATCGAGAACAACCCTCCAAGAGATTCCACGAGGAAGCCCGTGTATACTCATCCCTTGGATCGTGGTCCTATACACCTCCCATCCAATAGCAACTCTAGGCATTCTCGCTCCCATGATGCCTCAATCATGAGGCAAAGCCAAAATCTGACGGCTCCAGTGGCTGCACCCAGCAAATCCACTTCGAGCGCCGTCCCACCGAACGTGGGCCAAGGGTTTTCAATTAACTCTGCAAATGCGACCTTTGACCCTCTACGTCATTCCCTCAAAAGAAAGAAATCATCGAGCAATATTTCTAATGCCGCTGATCACTTGGGATTCAGTGGAATACAGCGCAGTGACCAGCGCGAAGTCCGGGCGTCTTCAATTGCTTGGGGATCCACCCAGGCAACCACTCCATCTTCGTCCTCTACTTTAGTTCCACATGCGACTACAACACACTCTTCTGGCTCTACTGCAATGCATCGTTCGAGGAAAGAGAAGGAGAAAGAGAAAGACAAAACTGTTATCAGCATCGAACATCCGCAGCTTCCATACCATTATCAACGACGACCTGTTTACCAGCCCCCCGAACTATCTGAAAAGGATCAAGTCCGGCCAACCGTTGAGAAACAATACTCTGGCCCGTTGGCCATTGCTGAATTTGATCGAATGCGAAAGGAGCTTGATGCGCTTAGGAAGAGTTTGGTCGATACAAAGAAGACTGCAAAGAAGCAAGCAAAGGTGAGCGATCCAGTATCCCACCGTACACGGCAGTCTCTCATCCGTCCTCCCTCAGCAAATCAATGAGCTCAAAGCCGAAGTTAGCGCAGGGGCTCTGGTGTGCCAACCTCTCTACCGATAACATCGCTGCCCAGCTCAGTATCATCATCGTTTCACAGGCAATCAAAGAAAGAGACCTCGAGATATGCACCGTCAAGGCGAAATCCCGCAAATCCGAAGAGGTATATCCAGCTAAATTTATTTTAAGCGTGTGTCTGATGACGCCACCCATTTAAGTTAATCTCGACAATCGAAAATTCAATTCAATGTCAGATATGCATGGACCTTCCTCACAAACCTTTTGCGTGCGTATCGCCTTATCATAATCAGATCAAAGAGAATGTATCTAAGTATTTTTATACGCAGACTAGCGCCTTGCGGCCACATCCTATGCCTCCTATGTCTTCAAGAGTGGTTTCGAACTGCCCCTTCATCTGCGATTGATGAAATGTATATTGATGAAGACGACCTGACCGACCCTCAATATATCATGATGCGGTCCAAGTCTTGCCCCTGCTGTAGAGCCGTTGTTAAACGGAGACCTGTTCCGGTGTTCATGGTCAAAGCTGTCGCTGCTGCTTTGATAAAAGATAAGCCTTCTTTGGCGGTTCCCAGGCCGATCAGCCCGTCAGGAACTGGGGAAGATGATCCGTGGAAAGGAATCTTTCCGCCCAGCGACGAGGACGAGGAGTCGTCTGAAGATTCTGACGAGTTTGAGGATGTGGACGATTCGGATTGGCCGGAGGTAGATAGATTTCACCACCGAGGATTTCGGGTTGCAGCTATGAGTGACAGCGATGACGATGACGATGAAGAGGACTATGAAGATGGGGAGGAAGAGGAAGAGAGTGATGACGACTCAAACGCTCCGGAATATGTGACTCCACAATGGGAACCCCCCAGTGTGGATATCGACCCCGACGATTGGGACTTCCAAGATGAGGATCCTGTCGCAACTCTCAAACTTCTCAGACGTGGTTGCTCTTGGGACATGCTCCAGAACTATGACATCGTATATGCTCACTCCATGGGGATAATTTTATTCCTGCATTCACTGGATCATCTTTACCGGGACGCAGAGGACAACCAAGCCGGATATGGGACTCGAGGCGGGATGGGGTTGCATCGGATTTATTTGGGTTGGAACATTACCCTTCCCGCGGATGATTTGGACGGAGAGGAGTTCACGCTTGGGATGCTGGATGAGATCAAGGCGCTCCCGGAGAGATGGCGAATTACTCCTCGACGTGATTTCGCTGGTTTTTTCGATGCTCGAAGATTGGTAAGACGAGCTAGTGTAGAGGATTATAACACGACGGACACCGATGCATGGTTGGATAACGATGAGATGGAGGATGTAGATAATGACACGGATTAGACGATAGGCTTTTGTTTCTTGATAAGGATATTGCAGATCATTTGTTGGATGAACGTGCAACTTGCAAGTAGAACAGTCTTGATAAGGTAGTTTTATTTATCCAAACCCTCCAATCCGCGTCTTTATGTTAAAATGAGGACGACTGACATCTCCACAATTGCGAGGAAACTTTCGACCTTAATAAGCTCCAAACTCCATAGATTTTGTGAGTCTCACCACAAAAACGTCCACACTTGGAACGGGTTTAATGAACCCAGAATGCGGAGCTAATCTGAATCAAGGCGGTTGTCCCGTTTGGGAACGAAAATTGACATTTTATTTTCAAGTTCAAGAACTAGATGCATGGAGTCCTCGAGCTTGAACTGGAGAAGTTAAGCCTGAAAATGCGGTATGATGAGGCGACTTATTGGAAGGCCAAGGAAGCTTACGCTGGACAGCAGATAGCGCTGGATTGAGCTTCGGTACGTCCGCTGCTTTCGGTACGAAAACGCGTACGACTCGTGGTTGAAGATGCTTGTTCGTATTTACCTATGCGGAGCATCGCATTGTGGTGTGGTTCCTTGATGTCGGGCGCACTCAACAGCGTCCAACCAATATCGCTTGGGCTGAAACTCGAGGCGATCTGGTCCTGGCCGGCAATTCAAGTGAGTATAGTTGGAGGGATTTACATCTCTTAGTGATGTGGATTGAGATGAATAGACGGATGCACCTCTCCGGCCTCAACGCCACAATGCGACTATCAGGGGAGAAGCAAATCGATAACCGGTGGTATGTTGGTGGTCTGCGCATGTACTAGGCTACGTAGCCAAGCTTCGGAAAGTTTGGTTTACCGAATCCTTTTCAAGGTGTGTCGTAGTATGGAGGAAGGCGCTGCGCAAATGTAGAATGACGACAGATAGACGTCGACTTCGACCTCCAAGGGTACCGCTCCTCATCCTGAAGCGGTTTTCGTGTACTCTGATTGTTGGCTATGACAACCTACAAACCAGTGTGTTAGAGGTTGAAATTAAGTGGCAATGGTTGTCTTGCATTATACACACATGTGCCCCTTTGAAAGGGGAGACTTGCGCCTCGATGCTGGGATTGTTTGACGGCAGAACAAAGTTGAGTGGTTACTAAATCGATGTGGAGTCGGAGACTCAGAGCGAGTGACCTCTTCTGACAAGATCGTTTCACCCCTTCTTCACCGAAAAAATAAGTGCCCAGCTAATGGTTGAACTAAACCTCTTCGAAGCGTATGGCCGAAAGAAAAATAGCATTTAGGATGGAGGCATAATTTGTGAAGAAGCGGAGGCAAGGCGGAAAGTGGCCTTGTGCTTACGTGATTTCAGTGCTGGGTCTCAAGGAGCTGCAGCCACTGGGTTGCGGGAGCTCAGCCATAGGCCGGGAAAACCCAAGGAAAACCACCATTGTGCCTGCTGACCCAGTAGTAAGACCCAATCACGGCCCAAAGCCCTGCTAATCTCGGCCGTCTCGTCCGCAACAAGAAATAGTTCAGAAAGGAGCTTCTTTAAGCAAAATAAAACAACAACACAGAACAACACACCAGCACGCCGCACCGTGACCACCACTGATGAAGCTTGAAGAACCTGGGTTCCAAAAGCCTGTAGCCTCAAGATTCAACTTCGTGGCTTTTTGATGGAAGACGACATTGATACGACCCTGTGCGCTGCATGGAGCGAAAATTCAAACCTTCGTAACACATGGTCTCGACAGTTGAAGAGCGTCCGCGCTTGACTTGGCCAGGATTTGGAGTGAATTATTCAAATGAGGAGTCAAGACAGTCGTTCATCCGAGAACGAAGGCGTCATACTTCAATTTCGAGCCAGTTCAAGCTCGAGAAGCGCGTGGAAGTTCTCGAGCTTGGACTGGCAAAGCAAAATCCTGGGGATGTGGTATGACTATGTGACTTTTGTGGGTACGATGTAAGGAGAACTTACGCCCTCAATTGAGGTTCAGCACTGAGTAAGGAATGCTCCGTAATCGACTACCATCGCGGCTCTGAAACTTGTATTCCATCCCCGCACTCCTGCGGAACCCAGATGTGGACTTGTTGGGCAAGGTGGTTCACCGGCACCATTGACAGGATCCTGTAAGTTCCACAATAAGCCCAAAACTTTCGGTATCTGCGGCAAAGTAGAGTACCAGATCCTGCGGCCGGCGGATGTCCATCTTGTCGATCTCTTCTAAATTGATCTATCGGTGCCTCCCGTGGCATCGTCACCACTCTTCGGCCCAACCACGCCTTGCGGTTGCCCTGACCGGAGTCGGCCATCTCGATCGAGTAAGATGATTGCCATGTAGAGCTTGAAGCGCAAACTATAACGTTTGCGAATGGGTATCGGGGTTGCGCATCCAATCCTCCTTCGATAACTCGACATGATGTTGCGTAGGCTGGCCTTGATATCTGAGGTGGTCGACGAGGCACTGAAATGTTGTGGCTGGTAGGGAGTGGAGTTAGGGGAAGGATTTACATCGTCGAGTTTGCTCTCGCCCATCATGGGTGTCGTAGATTTCAGGGTGGGTGAACACAAATGGTGGCGGATTTTCCGCTCTCAACGCCCCGATATGACTACTAGGGGAGATGGAGATCAATTATCAGTGGGCTACGCGCGTAGCGGGGAGTTGGATAACTCCAATTACTGTATCGTCCTGACGGATCAAAGTGAGCTGCGTTAATATTTGGGGCGATGGACCAACGAACGGCTTCGACTTCCAAACGGCTTCAGAACGGAAACTTTCACATCTCCTGGTTGCAACTTGAATGGGCCACTTGCATCCTGATACTGTGGTTGTCCAGAGGGAATTTTCGCGGTTAGTAAATTGATGAGGGGATGTGTCGGCAAATTGGACGCACCACCACATACGTAGGCGCCTTCTGTCATACTCATGTCCTCTAATAACCCTTCTGAAGCGATAAAACGAGTTTACAGGTTACAGGGTAGATTGAACTACTTTGGAGCCTACGGCGCCGTCAAGTGAAACAACTTGTTGGTGTGGGATCATATTATGTGAGGGTGTTTGGGCCCGGGGGCAAAAGGGCAGCAAGGTGGAGAGTAGGGCGCCGTGTTCACGCAATTTTTGAGCCAAAAGCGGAGTGGATGTGAAGGGATAAACCAAGAGGTGGGAGTACGCACCGTCACCTGTCCATGGGAGCGAATTCACTCAATGTGTAACATTTCCGGTTGTTCCGAAAATCAAATCTGTGGATTCATCTATCTACTTCAGTACATACAAAGTCCTTCTGACACAATTGAACTAGGTCAATGATTATGGTCGACTGGCTCAGCTCAATTTTGAATTGAGCATAACCATGCCTCGGGGAGTTCGCTCAGGGTGTGTTGGTGTCCGAAATGTATCAAGGTTTGTCTTCAGATCTCTGACGGTCAGTTCTTGAGCATCTCAGGACAATCTGGGTCACTAACCTTGCAAATCTTTCTTGCCCGTTTGCGAAGCGGTCGTGAGAATTCCAGAAATCTCTGAATGTCCTCCACAACCAGAACACAACGATTTAAGCTCTCCTCGGCGCGAGTATACGAGTTCCACAGTAAGTTCAAGATGATTTGGTCGTTTTGCCGGAGCCAGCATATTGAGGGTTGAAGTGAATGGCTCTACGTCAAATTCTAGGATAAGAAGAGGTGACAAAGGAAAACGTGAGATTGTCAGCTTCTTTCACAACTAGTCGTTCTTGACGTCAACCCGAGATGTCGTTTCTTATTGTTTAGCTGTAAAAGAGTGTGGAAAAACAAGAAGCCCAGAGATGGAGCGTGAAGGTCTAGCCAGAGAAATTGTTATGACACCTATCCATTGAGCCTTGAGCTGTCGAGAAAAATTGAAGCTACCTGTTGAGTATCCGTAAGTGTTAGTCTCCTACTAGAGCGGATAGGATTCTCACAAATCCTTTCCAGCTAAATGCAAAACCCTAGACGCCTTTACAAAATTCCCAGTCTCCGCCTCGCTTAGTACAAACGACCATGGCGCTCGATGCGTGGAGCGCTCCATTATACTACAATGTTCTGTAAGTAATACAAACGGTCTGGTGGAGCGGAGGGTTGCATCACTCACGCCACTTCTTTATTAAAACGGTTGTTTTGTACAAATCTCGCAAAGGTGTAGAATTCTGCATCTAGTTGTCAGCGCTTGGTCAGCGCCGCATTGTGATTTCTTCCCAAATTTCACTGTGGCGAAGTTCAAATCTCCGGAATCGTGTGCCATGTACCTGAAGTTCTTAAAATGGAGGGGAGGCCGAAAACAATGCTGTTGATGCTGAACTGTTCCAAAAATGTCCTAGCATGTTTTGTGCTCACTCTAAGCCATACTTCTTTGCACGAATACTTACATTGCATTCGAGCTGCATGCAGTTGCATGTCAGTTTAAATCAAAAAAATTGATGTTTGATTTACTCACCTTTCCTTAATCTCGGTCGTCGCGAGATTCACAAAGGTTCCATTGCCAGCATCCGGCGCAGTCGGTTAGACGGAGATAGGGGAGTTGCCAAGAAGTCCTGCCTGCCAGCTTATGTAATGGTCCTGTTGGAGTTGGTCAATGGTCATGAGGATCAAGTGTTCGACGTCTCCGTTCAAGTTGGAGTAGATTCGAGCTTGAGATTGAACAATGTCGTCCACGGAGAACTTGAATCTTCTTCCACCTCTCATAGAATCTGGGCGCTTCCATCAACTTGTAAAAGCCGGTCAAACAATATCAAGTTCTTTTTCGCCACTCGACAACTCCTTCTCTGCTTTCATCACCTACGCAAACACAGTCCGTGCCCAGCGCTGCACAGATATGATTTTAAACCTTACCCCATTCATCACAGGATATACCAAGCAAAGAAAAAGAAACCAAGTCAAGGACAGACGAAGAGCAGCCCATCTACTTTTCGGGCATTGATATTGTTCCCTCATCAGAGCGGCGTCTTGTATGTCGCTTTGATTTATATTTGGGTCCTATAAAGCCCTGATGGTTGTGTCTAGTTCATCACGGACACACTTATCATTTTTGCAGCATTCAATAACCTTTTGTTGTCAGCTGAAAACCATCCCGTTGGCTGGTTAGTCCAACAACTTCAGATAATAATACAGACTAAATGATACACAGGCTCCAAGATGATAATCAGGTGAAATTAATGAGGAAACTCGCTATCGACTACGTCAATTTTATAAAAGAATGCTGGGTCCATGCTTCGGTAATGTTGCATTTTACTCGATCATCACTGTCCTTAATGCGTGATCTTGCAGCAACCAATACCTCGCCCTGAAGGTCCCCTACAGTTTAGCAGTGATCACTATCGCAGTCTATATACGTGCTTCTCCTTATTCGTGGTTTTATACATACCCGAACCTGGCTATGATCTGGCGCCGGTCGGAGACGAGTTGATGGAGTGGCTCAACATACACTTTATCGAACCTTCCACAGAGGAAGGAGATCATTTGAGCGCTTTAGAGAAGCCGTGGGAGGATGAATCATTTTGGCCTTATCTAACCCGGTGCGTTTTCTTGTCGATCGTGACTGTCAACGCGGCTAACCGCGACAAGAGCCATCCTCCGTGGCCTAACAAAATCGTCCGCGTTCTTTTTGGGAACGCTCTTGCGACATGAGTCAGAAGACCTTCAACGCTTGACAACAACCCTAGAATCCTTAGTTGGGAATCAACCTCGGTTGCAGGAGTTCAATGCGGAGAGAGACTTTGCTTTTTCATTCCGCAGATGGAAGGATAAGGTTAAAGCGCTTCGTATTGAGATGGATGAAATACCAGAAGATAGAAGATTTGACGAGTTCGACAACTGGTGGGATCGACTCAGTAATATTGTTGGCATTTTGGAAGGTCGATTTGAAGTCATCAAACGCGTTTGTGAAGATTTAGGTGGCGACTGGAAAGAAGTTTGTGTGGCGTGGAGTATATTTGTTGACCCACGAATGCAAAGGCAACATCTACCGTAAGAGACCCTTTTTATATATATGTCCTGATGGGTGATAACCAGGACTATTTCAGAGACGTCGTCAGTCAAGTTTTAGGCGATACGCCGCCTGACCCAACGAACCTGGAAGACATGATTCACGCAGCTCTCTTTTCTGGACGACCCGCGGAAGGGTTGCGCAACGCTTCTCAACTTGATCGCTGGCTGGCAGCCCATCTGGCGTCCATCATGGCACCCCTACAACTAATCGACGCTGAGGATGACGAAGAGTGTGTGTGCTTGGTACGCACGACCCGATGGCGATTCTAACTTTGTTTACAGCGCAGATCTTTCGACTCGAGACGAACATGTTTTGTCATACGCGGATTATCTCCATTCTGACCCTGCGCTTTGGAGGGTCACCGTCGAGTACATGTACTCGTGTGGAGATGTGGGAAAAGACAGGGCAGACGAAATCCTACTGCGTGTGCCTCTGAGGTTACAGGAGCAAAATTTTGAAGAGATCAAGATCCGAGCTGGGGACGTAGTCGGCGTCCTTAAAGATGTCAATCAAACTTGTTTCCAGCATAAGCGAGAGGCTGTGAGACGATCTGTTTGCAGGGTGCGTTTATTTTATCTTGTTTGAGCGGTGGCTCGTTCGCCAACTTGTCTCCATTTAGATAGCAGCCCAAACTCTCGTTCAAAAAAAGGACTACGGTTTGGCCGTCTCATACTGCATCTCAGCTGAAGACTGGGTTGGCCTCGGCTCAGTCGTCGATCGCGTTCTGGATGAGTACATTATTAATGGTCTGTGCTATCTCAAAATATTCCGTTTTGCGGCTAATATGTCGAACTTTGAAGGTCCTCAAATATTCTCTCAATATGCGGTGGCGATAGCTCCCTCAGCTCAGAAACTTCAAACGCCTCAGGGGCATGGTCTTTCTGTGCACCGTCTGGTCTTCACTGTCCAATACGCCCACTTACACGAGCTCTTTGAACGGCACGAGTATCAAGAAGCCGCTAACAAAATTGTCGCAATTTTCTCCCAGGACATAGTCCCCAAATCTTGGTGGGCAATTGTTTTATGCGACGCCGTTCAGCTTTTGGAATCCGGTAATAATAAAAGTTTCCGTCATCCTTCCTTAGCCGCTCAACGCCATACTGTCAGGTCCATCACTGCTATTTTCGTCTTCCAGCGCATCCTTTATGCTTCAAAAACTGAATGAGATTTTCGTTCGGACATCTCAAGGCTCAGGTGACGATTACCTGATCGTTTTGTCCCGTAAACTCAAAGGTGGAGGGGAAACCGAAGCCTTGGAAAATTTGAGGGGCGTAAGATTGGCTTTAGCCCGCTATTTTGCGCGGTGTACTGTTTTCAGCGCGCAGTAAAGTTAATATATAACCAGTTAAGCGACCTGTTCAATAATTCTTTGGCTGATTCGCGCAGAAGTTCACACTACACAAATTTTGGGTTTTCCGGTTACTCAGTCCGCTCACTTGCTTGTTCTTCTCGAAGGGACCTGCATTCAGAAGCACAAGATTGAATGAGCCCCCAACGTCCGAACTGGATCAACATTTTACTTTGTGTTGACATACCCTTGTACTTTCCCTCTCGAGCCTTCTCCAAGATCTCAAATCGGCATGAATCGTTCTTACGGGACCTTCACCCGCTATTTCCCTAGCTGCATGCAACGCTTCGTTCCTATGAATTTTGCGGTGTTCATATGTTTGTCGTGAAGTAATATCCGTTCCCCTTGGTGTGCGTTCAATCTCCGGATAGAGGCAAAAGGCAAATAGTCAGCTGGTTGAAAACGCGCTTCACGCCTATCTAGCATGTCTCATGATCAGTTCTAAGCGAGCTCTTGTGCAGCTATAAAGCTCAGGTTTTCAGAAACAGGTTTCAACCTACCTCGCAAACAAGGATGTGTTTTACTCTTCATCTCTACGAGGAATTCTCCTGCACCCACCAAGTTTTGCAAAAACGCGAAAAGGTAGGGATACTACGCGTCAAACACACCGATGGCATTTTACCAGAGTCTTGATAGGTTGACTGCAATGGGGAAAGATGTGGCATAAGCCAACAACACTCCCACCAGACACACGATTGCAAGAACACTTGTGCTCGGCGGTACGCGATTTTCCCGTCATCTCCAGGTAGTGATTAATTCTATTTTGCTACAGCATGCAACCCGATCAATCCATAGTCTGGATGACGAGTCCTCTTGAATGCGACGAGTGCCGCTACCCAGGAATTAAGTGATGTCGTCGGATGATGGTAGGATCTTCTTTCAGGTTTTCAAGTTTTCAGATGCAAATATTGGAATTTTAGGCAAAGCTATGTAGTTCAACAGACCGTTGCAGACCATTACCCAGTTTTCTCCGTGCGAACGTCGGCAACCCATGAGAAGGACGGCAGGCGCTCTGTGAACACAACGTCACAATCTAGAGTTGATGGACCTTAGATGCGTCATTGCGGACTTGCGTTAAGATCAGTTAATACGGACCGATGAGATTGGCGCTTCTCCTCGAATCTAACTTAACTCGATGTGCTACCAGCAGGTTCTAGCTTGTATGACGCATTCAACAATCTCCCAGGCAAGATCTAGGCAACAGAGGATCCGGAGCGGTTGCCCCAACGCAATTGTCCGTAATGCAACATCGAAAGAGGGTAAAGAACTCCATAGCAATGTTGGACAAAAGCGTTGCAAGGCCGCTTTGGTGATTGCGGCTGCCGAAATATGAAATCATCGTGCCCCAACCAGGACTAGCCAAACATGTCCACCGTGTTTGAGATGGGTGCGCAATATGTCCCTTTTGCCATGGTGATGGAATTATTTCGCCTCGCGAAAGAGAAAGCTTGCATCATGAGCGTTATTTAATGTCGTCGAGTGACTAGCCTTTAGGCTTTGTCCCTAACGCTAGAGATCCCGTAGTACGGTTACGCCGCTTGTGTCGGTTTCGCTATAATTTTATCCGAAAGAGTGCGCCAAATGAAGATATTCCGGAGGAACGGTACCTTTTGCCCTCGCTGGGCTGACGGAAAATTTGACGTTATTTTTGCTAGTCTCAGTGGGACCGCTTTGCCTTGAAAAGCCAAGGATCGGGCAAGGAGGTGGTTAAATAATGTGAACTTGAAGCAGGTAGCGATTAATGGTATAATTACCTGTCTGAAAACGGACTGGTATGCCGCAGCCGCGACGAGGCCCAGGGTCCCTGCAGGCGCTTCTAATAAAATGCGACGTATAATGGAAGCAACTTTGTTTGCGATCGATCGACTTTACGCGGTCAGCATGGCGGGAGCATCCTCTCTGTGAGACAGTTGGGTATGCTTGCATGTTGACTGTTCTCTAAACGTTCTTGGCGACGCCGCGAACACCCTGAAGAAAGGAATTTTGAAGGAAGTGACTGGCCAGTGGTGGGCTCCACGTGGTTTGTTGCGGCGCCGTTTACGGCGAACAAGTAATTACTACTTGATTACTACACTAGGCTGCTCAGCAAGAGTCTGACGCTCATACCCACAGATCTCTTACTCGGTATTCTGGATTTCTTTTGCGCATAGTTCCTCTGCAGCATGGATGGTACAACGGCGGAGGACGGATATACATCCTCGACCGCTTGGGAGAGCAGCGGTCAAGGCGAAGTGCCAGCAGCTCGAGGCCACTACCCAGGACACTCATTGGATTCCGTGGAATCGTCTTCTCTCAACCTTCACGTAACTTCGATATCGCCACCACCTCGCTCAAGTTCAGATTCGGAACGAAAGTCGCCCAACAACTTCTGGCAGGATGCTCAGACTTCGATACCAGAACGCCATGACACTCTTGCGACCATCCACAGCGTTCAAACGCCCTCTCTGGTTGACCCGAGCTTCGATGAGAATGTTTTGCGATCATTATGCGAATTGGATGTTCGTTATCTACACTCTCCATGTGATATCTACTTTGTCTGATCAAAACGTTCTAGTGCGGGGTACATCTACTCCTTGATCGAATTAAGCAGAGCATGGTCTCTTGTAGGGTAAGTAGCTGTTCAGGAGATCGCGCATCCTCGCTGATATCTTCCGCTGAAGGAAGCATCGGTATTTTTCAAGAAGAGAGCCGTGATAGAGGAGGAGTATGGAAAGACGTTACAGAAGCTGGCTCGAACGACATCTGAAGCGTATGCGTTAAATGACGGAAAGGCAGGGTAACTTTTATTTTGTATTGCCTTGCTTGCCCCTCTCTAATCATATCGTAGCTCATTTGTCTCTGCCTGGATGTCGTCAATGAGGGTGCATGAGGTGATGGCGGAGAATAGGTTGCGGTTTGCGCAGCGACTCAATGAGATGAGCGACGAGCTTGCGAATCTTGTTAAGGAGGTGGACAAAAACAGAAAACAGGTGAGCATCTGTGATGCACCAATATCACTATCATATAACGTTCACTTCAGACTAAAGACCTCGCAACTCGGTATGAGCGTGCGTTGCAGGAGTCAGAGTCTCTGACTGAGAAGAGCAAGAATCGTTTGGACATAACTTCGGAAGAGTTGGAACGAGTATTGCTTCAGAAGGAAGGAGAGTCTCTCAAGGAGACCGTAGTCCCAGGTCGGGCAGGGGGTGTTGGTGGGAAACGTGCGATTGGAAAAGCTGTGGCGAAAGGCGGTCTTCTCTTGAAGGGAAAGAACCCAGGGAATGCGAGTATCGAGTTCCACGTTTTGCTATTTCACTGATGGTCTTCTTTTTGAAACAGATCCAGCGACAGGAAGACGACATCAGGTCAAGAATGTCAACCGCTTCTGATCAATACCGGAAAGCCGTAACAGATACGCAAGCGATGAGACAAGAATATTTCAACTTCCAGTTGCCCCGTATTCTTCGTGTAAGCTTTGTGGGTCGCGCATTATCCACTTGGCCTGACAGACAAACGCAGGCTCTGAAAGAGTGTGCCGATGAAATCGATCTTGGCACTCAATATCATTTGACAAGATATGCATTCCTATTTGAAAGCATTGTCTTGAGTGACGGCTCAACTCTTGTCCCTGCAAACGAAGAAGGTGTGGTGCCACCTTAGGCTCTTGTTTTTGTACCCATCTTGACTTTTGTTTTGAAAGGCCTGGGTCTGAAAGCCACCATCGAACTGATAGACAATCGAGGTGACTTCAAGACTTACATGCAGAACTACGCTTTTGCTCGAGGCGGAGCGGCGCCTAAGGGACCACGTCGTGATGGTCCTCAAGATGAAGGTTTTGTGAGCATTGCTATTCTTTGCATACGTGAAATGTCGCACTAACCACCTTGAAGCTACCCCCTCTTCCAACATTCGGGGAGAAGACCTCTGCCCCTAACACCCACCGCCCTTCCAACGGTGTCAACGGCATTCAAGACAAGGGTCGACCAACTTTTGGTGTTGACCTTTCCGAACAAATGATCCGCGATAACGTGGAGGTGCCGCCTATCATGCAAAAGTGTTGCGAGGCCATTGAGAAGTATGGTATTCGATCGCAAGGGATCTATCGAATAAGTGGAACAACGAGCAAGGTAACCAATCTGAAGCAGCGGCTAGACAGAGGTTCGTGACTAGACTCTTATTTTTGTGCTTCGTTGCTTAAGTCGATCTCGACATAGACTTGGACTCGGTTGACCTGGATACACCGGAATGGTCTGGCGATATCAACAATGTTGCTAGCGTCCTCAAGATGTGGTTGCGAGAACTGCCTGATCCATTGTTGACTTATTCGTTGCACCAAGGTTTCATCGAGGCAGCTAGTGAGCATATCGTCCGTTCGGTGATTATTGCTTGCTGATTCGAGTAATTGCAGAGATCGAAAATGATCGACTGCGACACATTCGATTACACGAGCGCGTCAACGAACTGCCAGATCCCAATTACGCCACTTTGAAATATTTCCTTGGTCATCTACACAAGTACGCACTCTGGCATCTGGTGCTGAAAATCATGTAATTGGTAACCTTTCTCCCCCAGAGTAATTCAACATGCAGCCGAAAATTCAATGTCAGTACAAAACCTTTCTATTGTATTCGGCCCGACACTCTTTCGGCAAAACGGACCGCAAGGTGGCTTCATAGCGGACGCACCATTCCAGAACCAGGTTCGACCTTCCATTGCTCGACACAACGCCGATTGATGAATGCTTTTTTTCTAGGCAATCGAAACAATTCTTCTGCACTACACGGATATCTTTATTGACGAAACGGAGTGACAGTGCATGGGGACTTTCAATTCGTCGTTTCATTATTATGTATACCCTTCACACAACCCCACCCAGCCTTTTTGTTCGCGCATGCTCTGGTCAAGGACGCTCTTCATTATTCGCTGTCTTTTATTTTATTCCATCGCACAGATATCCCATATGTATTATCACTATCTCAATATGTATCAGATCCTCTGTTTCGTTTTTTACAAGTACATAACGCAAAAGATGATATATAAATACACGAGTTGTGGCATGGATAAGTCTGGTGACCAGCCGACTCCAATCAATCCCGTTCATAGCCCAGAGGAAAAGGAAGCCTAGGAAGAGCTCCGTCTGCTATACTATTTTTGGTTTTGTACCAAGGACCACAGGGTGGGGGTATTTGCATCAAAAACCCATTCCGATTGGAACGGGAAGATGATTCGTCGCAATGATGGGCACGCCACCCACCATTCTGTGCAAAGGGCGAGCTCGTCCAGTGAATCAGCCTTTCCTACGCCGCCTTTCCCCGTGGGTGACAGGTCAAGGACCGACAGCTGATTGAAAGCACACAATACTGCCGATAAACCTGCGAGTATACTCTACAACTCCCATCGAAAAAAAAAGAAAAGGCAATTCAATTAGCTATAGATAGGATTGTTTCGAGGGTTGGGGTGAAGATGAAGAAGGGGGGTTACTCACTATGCCGGAGAAGGCGTGATGGAGGGTATGTCGCAGAGCGAGGTTCACGCGCAGGCTCTTGATGGTGGGGAGGTGCGTGGAGACGTTTCGCAGGAGGAGAGGCCGCGCCGACATGGATGAAAGATCTAATGACTTGAGGGGCTTACTTGTGTACGTCATCCGGGGCAGGTTGTCCCGGTTGACGTCGAAGTCGTGCCCGATGAGAGAAAGACATTGGACGGGGCGTCCGGGCAGCAGAGAGGCTGCAGTGTCGGGTGAACCGCGGAAGGTGGTGAGATAAGGGAGCGCTTCGGAGGGGAGGTTAAGCGCTGCATGATGATCGGATAGAATGAGGTGACGTAAATTGGGGAGGGAGCATAGGAAAGACGTGAGGATGGTGGTGTAGAATTGGAGTCCTCTGCCCCAGTCTGCTCCGAGGGAGCAGGATTGGAGCTGGGAGAATTGGCAGCCTTGGATTATCTGCTCGATAGTGTGAACGGTCTGCAAGGAAATGGTGAAATTCGTAGGTCCTAGGAAGAGTTCTAGTATTTCGAGAGCTGATAGAAGACGGACGACTTGAGAGAGGGCATCACATGCAGCGGCTGCTGGGTAGGGTGATGGGGGAGATAGCTGGCCGGCTTGCCATCTGATGTGTAGTCTCTTAGTGAGGTCTTCAAGGTGTTTTCGCCGTAGCATGGATTGGCACCACCGTAAAGTTTTCTGCG